CCGGAATCGCCAGGACCGGTTCCGAGGTGACCGCGTCCTTGATCGCTTGGAACGCGGAGGCCTCCGCGTCGCCCCAAGTCCATTGCTGGTCCTTCTTGGTGAGCACGAAAAGAGGGCGCGCAAGGGTCGAGAAGTCCCGAATGAACCTGCGGTAGAAGTTAGCGAACCCGAGGAACTGCTGAATGTCCTTCTTGTTTTCCGGAGTCGGCCAAGCGGAGACGCCTGCGACCTTGACGGGGGTCCATTTCGACGTGGTTGTGGGAGATGATGACTCCGAGGTACTCGATTGACGATTTTTCGAAGTCGCACTTCTCCGCTCGGAGGTACAACTTGTGCTCTCGGAGTCGCCGCAAGACCTCCTGAACAATCTGCCGGTGTTTCCGGAGGTCGGAATGGGCGATCAAGATGTCGTCAAGGTAGATCATGACGTCTCCGGAAAGGATGAGGTCCTGAAAAATGTCATTCATCATCGTTTGGAACGTCGCGGGAGAGTTTGTCAGGCCGAAATACATCACCAAGGGCTCGAACAGGCCTCGGTTAGTCCGGAAAGCCGCTTTCCACTCGTCACCTTCCTTGATCCGGACGTTGTTGAAGCCCCAACGGACGTCGAAGTTTGGTGAAGTAACGAGCGCCTTTGAGCCGGTTGATGAGGTCGTTGATCAGCGGAAGGGGGTACCGGTTTTTGACAGTCATCGCATTGAGAGCACGGTAGTCCTGGACGAAGCGGAGTCCGCCGTCCTTCTTCTTGACGAAGAAGACCGGAGACGCCATCGGAGACTTGGAGGGGCGAATCCGGCCCGTCGAAAGCCCTTCCTCGATGAACGCGTCGAGCTCGCGTTGCTCGAGGGGCGAGATGGGGTACACCTTTGCAGTTGGTGGGCTTAGCGTCGGGGACGAGTTCAATGGCGTGGTCCCAGGCTCTCCGCTCCGGTAGCGTGTCGAAGGACTCCTTGTTGAAGACGTCCTGGAACTCCTTAGCCCAGTCCGGGATCTCGGAGGGCGGAGGGGCGGAGTTCCTGGCGAAGGCTTCGGCCAGGCGTTGCGAGACAGTACTGCCAGCGCGTATCTCCTCCGAGGGGCGGAACGAGGTGTAGAAGATGCGGTCACCATCTTCAAGCTGACCATCGTCATCGTCGTCGTCGTCGGAGTCCGGCGTCAGATCAGGCAGGCCGGAGTCGTCACCGGAGACGGAGTCGTCTCCGTCATCAGACCCAGAAAGGTCCATGGCGCAGACCGAGGGGAACGGGCCGGAGCGGAGACGCTTCTGAAGCGACCGGAGTCGCCGCAACTCGGTCCGTTCAACCCGCTCTTCCTCACGGCAGGTCGAGCAATTGCGGGGGCACCGTGTCATCTTGACCTCCTTGGTTTCCCAATTGATCTCTGGGTTATGTTTCCGAACCAGGAATACCCCAGGATGAGGTCTTGCTTGCCAAGATGGGTGACGGCCAGCTGAACTCGTTCGGCATGGCCCTTGTAGCGCAGGACCAAGTCCGCGATCTGTTTGATGGAGCCAGCGTCATTGGGGGTGCCATCGACATTGAAAACCGGAATCGGCTGATCGAGGGTGCGGACCGGAATGCCATTCCGAGCAACATAGTTCGTGTCAATGAAGTCGGAGGTGGCACCACAGTCGACAAGCCCAGAGAGTGAGAGCTTCAGCGCCTGGTGGTGGACTCGAGCTCTAACGGGAGGTGGAGGGAGTTCGCCCCAGGGGCAGCGGCAACGGTGTACTGCTTGGGCAGTTTCTTTTCCCAGGCAGTGAGGCGGCGGAGGACGATAACCGGAGTCGCGGGGCGGAGTCGGAGACGGAGTCGAGGCGGGGGGCAGGAGAGGGTGTGTCTTTCGTTTCGGGCTCATTGTAGGGCAAGGAACTGCATTCATCATACAAAGAGGCAAAACGATTTATAGACGCGAACGAGGGCACACCAGTCACTCGTCGCGGGGACAAAATCCTCTCCGGCCATCGACTCCGCTGCCGTCTCCGGCAGGGCAGCTGTGTCCGTGTAGCGGGCGATCAACTCCGCTAACATCTCGTCACCGAGTTGTTGGATCACCTCGTCGAGGATGTCCATTGAGCGGACATCGGCGGGGAGGGGGCAATCCCGGGCGAGATGGTTTGGGTCGCCGCACCTGAAGCAGGCGCGACGAGGGGCACCCCGAGCCCTGGTGCGATCCAACTCCATAGGGACGGGAGCTGGAGGCGCCGGAGCGGGGGCGCGGGCCGCGGGTGGCACGACCGGAGCCACCGGGCGGAAAGGGGCCGGAGCCGGGATGCGGTTGACCGGAAACGGAGTCCGAATCAAACCGCCAGGCGTCTTGGGGGCGGCTGACTTGATCAGCTTGGCCCGGACCAGGGCCTCGTATTGACGGAAGGCCCGGGTGCGCCAGCTAAGGTAATCCCGGAGGTCCGGGGGGTCGTTCGAGGACGTGATTCCGTTGTTGATCAGGGGGTCAAGTCCGTGGCGGAACTTGGTCACCTTGACCAACGCGTCTTCGAATCCGGCGAGGTCCATCAGGTCCTCGAGTCGTCGGTGTACTGGTAGACATCCTTTGTGCCCATGTGATAGGCGGAAGTCTCCAGTTTGGAGAGAGCATGATCTTGCTCGTTCTCCTCGACGAACCGGAGTCGAAACTCGGAACGAACGAGCCCCAGGACGGAAACGGAAACGGGGCTTTGCTTCCGTGGCGCTCCGCCCATTGCTGAGCGGGTCCTTCTGCCATAAACGACATGGCATAGCGGACGGCCTTTTCCTCACTCGCCTCTCCGTTGACCACGAAGGCCTCAGGGGCAAGGCGGGCATAGGTGCGGACCGCGTAGAGGAACGCGGCCGCGTTTCCGGTCGCCGTTGAAGGTGAACGGGGGGTTTGGTCGCAAGACCAATTTTGAGGCGAGGTTGATGTCGCCAAAAAGGGCTTCGAGTCGCCCTGGACCGGAGTCGGAGTCGGAATCGACGTCTCCGGCGATGGTGTTTGGGGTCCGCCAGCATTATTAGCGGCGGCAGCGGCAGCGGAAGCCTGGTTGGTGAGTAAAGCAAGGGCCTCAGTTAGGCTATCGATTTTCGCCTCGAGTGAGTCCAGCCGGGCGTCTGCGGCAGGAGTGACTCCGGACGGCATGACGGGTGCGGGGACCACAGGAGTAGAGGAGGAGGGGACAAGTGGCAGGGGCGGTGACGAGGGCGGAACGGACTCGTACTCCGAGCCTGAGTCAGCGCCGAACCTGGCAATCTTGTCCGGTTGATCCCGTAGAGAGTTTCTTCTGCTGTAAGGGCAACCCCGGAGGCCTGAGATCAAGGTCCTAGCAGGGGAGGATCCAAAGCGTGAACATTGGTAAGCGAATACAAATGAAGCTGACCTAGCAGGGGAGGATCCAAAGAGAAGAAACTCTAAGGGTCCGCCTGCTAGGTAGCTGACTATATACTGCTTGTCCGTAGCTGCCGCTGTCGGGCACAGAAGGCTTGGGCGGCGTCGCAGGCGAGGTCCCAGGGCGACCGTCGGGAGGGCGTTGACGGATCGGTGATTGTGCGGGCGAGATGGAGGGCCGGACCGGAGACGGAACCGGAGTCGGACCGGAATCGGAGGCGTCTCCGAGGGGCCGAAAGGGAGGTTCCCCTGACATTGTCGTTCCTGAGCTAGCGCGATGGTGTCATGAGCCTTCTGCCGGAACGCCTCCAGAGTTTCTATGAAGTCTTCGCCTTTCTGACTAGGAAGGAAAGGACGAGCCACGGGATCCGTAGCGGAAAGTAGAGTCCCAGCGGAAGAACGAGGGGAGTAGCCCATCAGCAGGAAATTAGGGGAGTAACTGGTAGACGCGTGCACTGTGTTGTTATACGCGAAGTTAACCTCGCCTAGCCACCTTGCCCAGGCCGACCGGTCTCCGGCGACGTAGGCGCGCAGCATCTGCTCGATGTAGGCGTTCAAAACTTCCGTTTGTCCATCAGTTTGAGGATGATGGGCCGAGGATAGAGCCAGATGACTACCGTACTGCAAGGCAACGGACTTCCAGAAAGCCGTCGCCCATCGCTTGTCTCGGTCCGCGATTATTCGCTCGGGCATCCCAAAGCGATTAACCACATGATCGATGAACAGCTTGGCGAAGCCTTCTTGTGATAGCGTGGTATGCGTGGGCACGAAAATCGCGTATTTAGTCAGTTTATCCACGAACACTAGTATCGCGTTGAACTTTTCCGCACCCGACGGTGGTAACCCCGTTATCATGTCCATTGATACAGTGGCCCACGGAGCTGCAGGGATATGCGCTGGGCGGAGTCCGCCCATTTTGCGACGATGGTCGGTCTTGATCTTCTGACACACATCACAAGACCGCGTGAACTTTTCCGCGTCTACGGACATCGACGGCCAAAAGAACAGTTCGCGGAGACGGGTGATCAACTTCGCTGGGCCCGTGTGGGCCGTCTCATGAGGGGATTCATGGACCCATTTCAGAATGAAAGGGACCTTACTTCGCGGGACGCAAAGACGGGTATTCCAGTCCGCATCCACAAAGTAAAGCAGTCCGTCTCTTCCCTTGCGGAATTTAGAAGGGGTAAGGAGTAAGTCGGCGTGCGAGATGTCCTGCGCTATTTTGTCTCGGAAATAGCCGTCCTTGCGATATCCCTCCGCAAACTCGGCAGCGAAGTCTGGGGATAGACTAACCAGCAGATGCGCTTTCTGGTTCCAATCCTCGTCAGAGCTGCTTGTTGGCGGCTTCACACCGGCGGGGTAGGTCCAATGGTCCTCTTCTTGGAATGGCAATGACGGCTCCGACTGAACCCTTAAAGGCAATTTTACAACTGATTCTGCACTCAAGTTCCCAGTGGGAAAGGCACAACAAACATGTGATATATACACTATGGGGGTGAGAAAGTAATTAAAATAGTATAGTATATAACAAGGACATTATCCGGAATCTTACAATTCCCTTTCTTTTCTCTTTCCTTTTTGGGAGAATTTTTGCTTAATTCTTTTGGGAAACCACAAACACCAATACCGAGCCGTTCAAACTACTCGGGAACTACATATGCGGGAGGAAACGCCTTCCCGTTTGCTTTCGTCACCTCAAAACTCTCTAGATCGATCCCATTCAATGTCCGAACATTGAGCGCTCTCTTCGCGGGATCCAGCATAGTGCCTTCTGGCCCAGCGAAGCGGATGTAAACCACGACCCCACACGTTTTGCAAAATGTGTGCTTCCCTTGCTTCGTGTTGAAGTCGTATTCCGTCGTCTCGGTCTCCGCATCACGGACAGTGAGGTTTCTGGCCAGGATGTAGGCCCACCGGGCGCCGTTGCGCGAGCAGATGCTGCAGTTGCATTCGGTGACCGTTGTGATCTTATTTGGCTGGACGAGTGTGTAGGCCACGGCGCCGCAATGGCAGCTCCCGTTGTAGACGGCTGAATCTGACGGAGGCTCTATAGAGGGGACCGGGTGTGTCGGGGCCTGATAAGCCGGCTCGGTTTGAGAGCCTTTGAAGTCACTGTTGATGGAGAGAGAGTCAAGGTCGATGCCCTCGATGGCGCGAAGCTAGGCAGTTCAATTAACGCAGAGAAAGAGAGATAATCTGTCGTCTTCTCACATTCACCAGAGTCAACGATTTACTGCTGATATATATTGCAATAGAAGTGCCGCATTTTGGACAGAACTGGATGATAGGATGAGAACGAGTGAGGTTATGTTGATGGCTCCGACCTTGTGCTCCGCCTGATGCTTTCCGAAGCTGTAAGACGAAAGCGTCGTTTGGAAGTCCCCCTTGGTCGCCACGAGCTCCCCATCCTTAACCAGGACATATCCATTCCGGGAACAGATGCTGCAATCGCAAGAGAATGCATGCTTGAGCTCATCGGCGGCGGTCAGCGTGAACTTGAAGGCGCCGCAGTGGCAGTTCCCGAGGTACACTGGCATGATTGTGGAGAGCGAAGGGCAAAACTGCGACCCTTATAAGACTTCTGCGATCGTCACAGCATCACGGGGCTTGTGACCGCGTATCATGCAAGCCTCTGCGAGCCTGTGCCCTCACGCATTCAGACGCGTAAGTTCGACCGGAAACGATAGACGGAGACAGGTGGGTCTTTCTGTATGCTATCTCATCAGCTTAGATGAGTCGAAATGTTCATTCCGACCGATACAACGGCATCTTCGACGACTCTTACTCCTTCAAGGCAGCTATTAGGATTCTCGGAGGTGTCAATAGGAAAGGAGCTGAGGTCTTGAATCTGGAAACAAGACCAGGACCTAGCTGGCTACTTCGAGTCGCAGCTTCGATTTGTCGGAAGATGATGACACGCTCGTCTACGGGATGGGTCAGCCCCGGCCAATGGAAAACTGCGAGAGATACCGACCGAATTCCGAATCGCCTTATGGATTTCAGCGACGGTGTCGTGGTGTAAGCCAGCGCGGGCACGCCGAGTGTCTCGAGGACATTATGAATCGAACATCAGTCAAAACCTGAGAGTTCGTGAGCATGAATTCGAATCAAGAGCAGGACCCCCGACAACCGGCTCACATGTCCGATGCCCCGCAGGGCAATTCAAGAGCCTGCGAGGGTTAGATAGTTACCGGTGGCTTGTCCGTTGATGGAAATTCCATGGCTAGTTTAATAGGCTTCGATGGGCAGGATGAAGTCGATTTTGAGGTACCAAAATTACAAGTGTCTGGCTCAAAACTATGGGTACGACGAGACGAGTCCGTTAGGGAGTCGCATCCAACTCTGAAGAGGCGAAATCTCTGGCCCTCCCGCGGGTCCGAACGGCGCCAAAACGACGCCATTCGGCAAGAGGACAAGAGACGTTGTTCTTCCACGAGCGTAACAGGACCAGGCGAAAAAAAGTGAGCCTGGTCCTTGACTTGGCTTGTGGGTGTGTTGATCAATCGAACGAACGAAGAAACGTCTTGCAGGATGTATTCGTGTAGTGTGGTGAGAGCGAAAGAAAGAAAAATTGCTGTCCTGATTGATTGATGGTCACAATCGTCACAACTCTTGCTTGTTCCTGATAGCGTGAAGTCAGGCTGCGCAACGATGACCCACGTCTCTTGGAGCTGCCCGATATGTTCTTACAGACAACGGTAGCCGTCGCGCTCCTCGGCCTGGTCTCAGCCTCCCAGGCCGTCTTCAATGTGCCGCTGCTAAACGTGTCATTCGTCCCTTTCGGGACTTTAAAAGCCCTTTCGCAAGAGGAATTCACGACGCTGGCCCATCCAGCCTTCCCAAACTATGGGGTGCGAGTCAAGAAGAGCGACTTCTGTGATGGACGCGTCGCGTACGTGTGCTCTCGCTCCATTTATTACCCAAATTAACTTTTTTTTTTCGGTAGCTCTTACACAGGCTACATCGACATCGAGGCACGCCACTTGTTCTTCTACTTCTTTGAGAGCAGAAACGATCCATCCACCGACGATGTGATATTCTGGACCAACGGAGGTGCGTTTTGACTGAATTGTCATGTTTTTGCTAACCCCAGTCAACCAGGGCCGGGTTGTTCTTCGGGAGTTGGATTATTCATGGAACTCGGTCCATGCAGAGTCAACAACGCGGAAAACGGTACAGTCTACCACCCCGAATCGTGGAACTCCAATGTGCGTCTCGCGGCTCCGCCTTTGCATCCATCCTAACGATTTCACTAGGCGAACATCTTCTTTATTGACCAACCTATTGGCGTTGGCTTTTCCTACGCCGACTTCGGGGAGTATGTGGTGCGTTCAAAGTAATAGATTTCTATCGAATTTCCTCTCATTTCGAGTACCAGAGCACCACCGAAGATGCCGCCCGCGACATGGCAGCCTTTGTCGCCATTTTCTTTGCCCACTTCAATCAGTTCCAAGGGAGAGGATTCCATATGGCCGGCGAATCTTACGGGGTAAGTGCTCCTTATATGTTTTTTATGGAATTATATCGGGTTAGGGTCGTTATGTCCCTGCGTTTGCTGCTGCAGTCTACGACCAAAACACATTCCTGATCAATGCTGGCATTCCACCCATCAATCTCTCGTCGGTTATGATTGGTAGCCTACTTTTTTTCCTTGCTATACAGCCACTTAGATCTGGTCAGGCAATGGTATGACCGACGTGCCCACTATGATGACGGGCTGGTATGAGATGCAATGCTCTTCAGCTTCTGTTCTTCCCGTCCAGAACATTCAGTATGCTTCAATGACACTCTCTCTTTCTGGCTGACAAACTTATAGGTCTTGCGTGGCAATGAAGACTAGAGTGCGCATCGGAAACTCCTTCATTGCCAATGACTGAATGGAAATATATAGCTTCCTCGCTGCCGCAAATGGCTCAAGGAATCCTGCCAAGACATCTACGATTCCATCAATTGCGCATCCGCCATGTCTTTCTGTCTCGAATCGTTGCTCCTCCCGTATGCCTCGCTGGGTCTCAACACATATGATGTCACAAAAGAATGCGGTTCCAGTTCACTATGCTACGAAATTATTGAGTACGCGCTGCCTTTGAAACAAGTAGTTCCCAGACTTACTCACCCTGACAGCGAAATAGTCAAATTCCTCAACCGCGCCGACATCCAGGCATCTCTTGGCGTCGACCCCTCGAAAAGCAAGTACGCATCATGCTCCGACAAAGTGGGCGCCGACTTTGGCCACCTGCAGTACGACCTCATGCATGGTTCCACCGAATACGTTGCCGGTCTTCTCGAGCGCAACATCCCGGTCCTGATCTACGTCGGGAGCTACGACTTCATCTGCAACTGGCTCGGGAATGAGGCATGGACCCTTGCGCTGGAGTGGACCGGGCAGACGGCGTTTGCCAAGCAGCCGCTGCGGGAGTGGACCGTCGACGGCAAGAGGGCCGGCCTGACGAGGAAGGCGGGCCCGTTCACGTTTGCCACGGTCGATGCTGCGGGGCATATGGTGCCCTACGACAAGCCGGCAGAGTCGTTGGCGATGGTGCAGCGGTGGATTGCGGGAAAAGATCTTTGAGTCGTCGAATGCTTGAGCAGTCAGCAGCGTCAATGAAAATTGTTTTTAACGCTCTTCCGATAATGATAGCGCACAGCATATCTGACGTTCGATTTCGCTACGAGCGTCCTGTATTGTGGTGTCTTGGTCTTGCTCAATGTACAGGCTCGTGAACCTTTGATGCAGACAGTGGAAGTGGGTCCTTAAACCCATCGTCCAACTCAAAAGCCCGAGCAGTGACTGAATAAATGTATGTGGTTATATCGACGACAGTTTTATGTCAATTTTTGGCCTCGAACCCCCGCACAGAAGACGGAATGCACTCACCATTGTTGTGGTGACTGTCCCGTCTTGTACGGTTCATCATAGGTCACCCAAAACCGATCTCCTGGACTTTGGCTTAGTAAATCAATATTCTAGAAACTCGCGCAAGAAGCCCCATCTCTTATACACACCGACCAAGCAGGCTTTGTCCCAAAACGGCAAATTCGGGACCAAGTATGGTTGACGAAAAGATTAATCGAATACGCTGAAGTGTCAGAACACGACGGGGTAATAGTCGCACTCGACCAAGAGAAAGCTTATGACAAAATAGAACATGACTACCTATGGCGGACTCTGCAGAAATTTGGAATACCAGAGCAATTTATTAAAACCGTACGGGCACTGTACAGCAACGCGAAAACATATGTCATGATCAACGGAGAGCGGAGTGAGCACCCCTTCAAGGTGACGCGGGGAGTGCGGCAAGGGGACCCACTCTCATGCCTTCTGTTCGACCTGGCCATAGAACCACTCGCAGAAGCACTACGATCCTCCCACCTGAAAGGGATCAAAATCGAAGGTAGAGTGGAAAGAATTATCACCTCCCTCTTCGCCGACGACACAATGGTGTACCTCGACAAGGAAGACGACTGGGGTGAATTATGGAAAATTCTAGATGAATGGTGCATTGCAGCGGGGGCTAAATTTAATGTTAGCAAGACGGAAATCATCCCTGTCGGGAGACAACAGCACCGTGAGGCAGTCGTTGAGTCGAGATGCATTAACGGACTAGACGGCACCAAAGTGGCTGACAACATCAAAATCGCAATGGACGGAGAACCAGTTCGCACCCTTGGAGCCTGGGTAGGGAACAACGTCGAAGATGCAGACACATGGGCAAGAACCCTTGAAAAAATTGACGGCGCTCTGGCGCATTGGGAACTGAGTAACCCTACAATGGAGGGACGCAGGCTCATTGTTCAAATGGTGGTGGGAGGTATGACACAATACCTTACCACAGTGCAAGGCATGCCCAAGGAGGTGGAGAACCGAATCGAGCGCAGGATACGCAACTTCCTATGGGCAGGTAAAAAGAGCGTGACGATAAACAAGGAAACAGTGTACGCACCGAAAGAAATTGGCGGCAGAGGCCTCCTTGACATCCGGGCCCGGAACGAAGCCATAACCATAACGTGGCTCCAGAGATACCTAAATTTCGGCCCCGACAGACCCTCATGGGCATACGTCACAGACCAAATACTGATAAGGAATAAATCTGACGACCAAAAATATGGAAGTATGGAAACACGCACCAGCCCGTACCTACAACACTGGGAGCCCAAAGTATCATCGGCCAAAGTCGGAAACGACCTCGCACGCCTGATCAAGGCAGGAAAAGACCACGATGTCGGCATCGAGGCAATAGCTGTGTCCCGAAACATACAACGCAGTATGCCAATATGGCACCACATCAAGTCCAGCGAGGATGACTGGAGGGTCTTCCGCTACCCAAAGGCAACAATCGAATGCCTACACAAGAACCACAAAGTCAAGTCAGTCCGAGACGCGGAAGAACTGGCGAACAAAATGCAAACACGAAGACATACGTCACGAGTCGACTGTAAATGTACATCGTGCCAAATAACGAGGGTGGCGTCTAAATGTAAGCACCCGAATAAGTGCTACGAGAAGGCGAGAGACATGCTACATACCATCCAAGACAAATGGGACCCCAGATTGGCCCAGCCGGAGACGATGGAGGAACTCCTTGAAGACACACCGGTCGCACTCGATGAGAATATTGTCCCATTCAACCGGAAAGTCACCACACGAGGGTCCATAGCCGACACATTCCGCGTCTTCAGAAATGGAGCGCGAAATAAAGCAAAAGCGGCCCCGGACACTTCACCGCTACCCGCAAGCGGCCCAGCCGTCACAGTCTACACAGATGGGTCAGCACTTAAAAACGGAACCCCCCAGGTGCAGGCTGGAGCCGGCATCTTCTTTGGGGAAAATGACCCTAGGAACAGGTCACTGAGAATCCCCGCCCACCTCTCGCCATCCAACCAGGTTGGAGAGCTGGCGGCAGTAAAAGAAGCCGCAGAAATGTGCCCCATCGACCGCCCACTGCACATAATCAGTGACTCAAGGTACACAATCGACGGCCTCACGAAGAACCTACAGAACTGGGAAGATGTCGGATTCTTCCTCGTGGAAAATGGTGAGCTGGCGCGCGCAACGGTGTCGAGGATCAGAGAACGCAGGGCGGAGACGACCTTCCAATGGGTCAAAGGCCACGCTGGCAACGAAGGGAACGAAGGGGCCGACGAACTGGCTGGCCTTGGTGCAACACAAACCCCCGAAGACGAAATTCGTATGGATTTGAGACCAGACTTAGTCCTCCCCGGGGCCAAACTACAGGCGATCAAACAGTCGACGGCCTACAAAATAATCAGACAAATAAATATGGCGAAACCGGACTACGAGGAAGCCCTCAATAGACGGGCCACAAGGGACAACATGTCCAAAGCACAAAACGCGATTGAGTCGCGAGAGGACACGACCGCTACCGAGAAAACAATCTGGAAAGCGACGAGACACAAAGATGTGTCACGCATAATCCGAATCTTCATGTGGAAACTGCTGCATGGGGGCTTCAAAGTGGGCAACCACTGGAAGGACATCCCACAGTACACAGACTGGGTAGATTGCAGGAAATGCGGACTCACCGAATCCATGGAGCATATTCTGACAAAATGCGAATGTCAGGGACAGGAAGAGATCTGGAAATTGGTGAGCAACACATGGGAAAAGAAAACAGGCAACGAAATTAAACCCACAATCGGCCAGATAATGGCCTCTGGTGCACCCGGCGCGAGCCAGGGAAAGAGTAGTGGCGAAGAGCGACTATACCGAGTACTAATATCAGAGTCAGCATATCTCATTTGGAAGCTTAGATGCGAACGCGTCATAGGAGATAAACCAGAGGCGTCGCTTGAAGAGATCAGGAACCGCTGGCGCAAAACAATCAACAACAGGATAGAGATAGATCGTGCACTCACCGATAAGAAAAAGTGGGGCAAGAAGGCCATTCGCCGCTCGGTTGTACAGGCCACCTGGGGCAAAACACTGAGGGACGAGGACCAACTGCCGTCGAACTGGACGTCGACGACTATCGGGGTTTTAGTGGGTATCGGATGAGCTGGTGATGATGGCAAGCTGTGACTGATGAAGCCGCAAGGCAGAAGTTGCAGCGCTGCCTGAACTAGCAAGGCCGAAGCCCCACACAAGGCGTGTACACACGCCAGTGCTATGGAGCATTTCCTCGAGTGGACCAAAATCAGGCTTGGTTTAAATCCCAAGGCCGCCAAACCACGGGTAGCGAGTGACCGACATAGGTCGGCCCGGATGCGATGCGGAATCTCGAAAGAGATAAACGCGGAGATACGGGGAAGCGTTAATTCGCCCTTACGTGCTACTATCCCAAACGTGCCACAAAAAAAAAAAAAAAAAAAAAAAAAATCAATATTCTAGAAACTACGAAGTAGTGCGCACGTGGCAAATTCCCGAGCCGCTTTCGACCAAAATGACTGTTGGGCGCTTCAACACACCGTCATGTCTGTCTACCACGGCAACTGCCACTGCGGCGCATTCAAGTTTACCTTTACCACTCCCACCGAGCTCACGCAGGCTGTTTCGTGTGACTGTAGTCTCTGTTCTCAGGAAGGCTACCTGGCCGTCCTTGCCAGAGATGGAGAGTTCCAAGTAACAAAGGGCGACATTGCGACGACTCTCTCGTCATACTCGTATGGGAAGCGACAATGGGAACACAAGGCAAGTTGTAGAAAGTTGTGAGGTTGTTGGGATTGAAGCCATTTAGTTCTGCAAGAAATGCGGGACCTCTGTGCTTGTCCATGCAAACGGAAATCCCTCCACTCTCGCAAGCGTGAATGTGAGGACAGAGCGGACGGCGATTGGTGTGCTGACGCCCAACTAGCTGCGGGTGATTGAGAATATTGACCTGTCCGCCATATCCTTGAACACCGACTTCAAAGGGTCTCAGGTTGGGCCGGCTTTCAGCCCACCATCGACTCCGCCTACCCCACGAGTACCACCACCAACGGGAGCGACAGTCTACAGCGGAGGCTGTCATTGCGGCGCAGTTGCTTACACACTCGTCCAGCCAAGCAAAATCAGCGCTCTCTCCGAGTGCAACTGCAGCATTTGCACGCGTCATGCCACGCTCTGGGCATATATCGCCGTGAACGACCTTACTCTTCGCGGCGACGACACCAATTCCACAGAATACGAATTCGCGACGAGACAAGTCAAGCATACGTTCTGCAAGACGTGTGGTGTGCTTGTGTATCTTCGTTTTGCAGGCGCGGAGGGGACGGTGGTGGATCCAGCGAATAGAGCGTTGAATGTTCGGACTCTGGATGGTGTGGATTTGGAGAGTTTCGAGGTCAAAAAAGTAGACGGGAAGGCGTATCCTCCTCTATACGTAGTTCCAGAATGATAGTCTTTGCGGAAGAAAAGTAGCAAAGAAAGGTTCATTCTTCTCGTCCCAAATGCGCTTTGCTTCAACTTGCTTGAGTTGTTCAGGTACGAGAGCAGGATTTGGCGACATCACGTGCCAACTCTCCTCTTATCCCACAACCCATCCATTGCGTCGTTCACGCTCCATTGTACATCAAGCCTTCAGGCTGGACTCCCTAGCCCTCGCAAGTAGTGGGTGACGACGACAGGCTGAACAGCCGATGGAATTACTAGACCACGATTCAGTCCGTCTATGATCATTCATTTGGAATGCTCTCTCTTATTTGCAGCCCTACTAGTTCCTCACCCGGCTAGAAGAACTCTTCGAGTCATCTCAACAGCACGGCTCAGTATGGATTACGCATAAACGATGTAGGCGGCGCGGTTGGATAATCTACAACCGCCAATAACACTTTCTTCCACAGTGCGATACGAGGACGAAGATATTGCGATGGGCCATGCGACGGGCGCTTCTGGGGGAGACGAGCGAGAGTACCCGTGTCTGATTCGCGTCACCGATGGTGGGGCGGCCAGATTCTCTACCAGGGTATGTCGAAGCCTTTCTTTTTTCGCTCCGAAACCAAATCGCTGCCTAGGTCTTGTCCTCTGAGCTCTCCAAGTTCCATGCGGCCTACGGCAACCTCCTCAAATCGGCTTTCTCCACGACTCTCCGTAAACGCGACAAAAAGAAGGAAAAACTGAAGGCGGAGGAAGCGGCAAAGCGGAAGAAGAAAATGACGGAACAAGTTATTGTTGTGGAGGGCCCCAAACGCGGCAATGGACGGAGGAAGCGCCAGAAGAAGATCAAGGCGTTGCAAAAGCAGTTGCTTTCGCAGCAGAAAGCGAAGGAAAGGGAGGAAGCTGCTGCTGTGAGAGGCTCATAAGCATATTCTGTTGGGTGACTCCAAGGTGACTCCTCCACATAATTTGTTTGTACATGTAGCAATCTCAGCGGGTCCTTGTTGCAGTTATCTCCCGAATCTTTGGAGACTAGTTCGCCCTACCAAATTTAAGTCTGACTGCAGGAGACAAGTTTGAGACACCATCTCAGAACATTCTCTCCTTAAGTATGTTCAAAAGCAGTTGCAGTGATTTGAGTTACAGTCTGCCAAATTCATACCACAACAGATACTACTCGACATAAAACCCAGCGATAACCCACTACCCTCCATTTGGTTTTTGATTATAGAGCAAGACTATACCTGTAATCGGGGTCAATATTGGATCGGTAGATGCGACTAAAAGAAACACTGACGCAGCAGGCACGTTCTTCTGGCGCAAGCCAGTGATAGTGAGTGGAATACCGAGTTTTCCGTTGATGGTCAATGCACTGTTGTCGTGATCGGTATGCATTCGAGGCCAAACGAGCAACACTCACCGGACCCAGATATCGACGTTAAGCAAATCGAGGTAGCCGAGGGGGATGATGTCGAGCGAGGCGATGGCGCCTTTCGTGAGGAGGACATTGGGAATAGAGCCAGAGTTTGCAGAGCCAAGGATGGGGAGAACGAAGCCCTTGGGGAAGGTGTGGTCAAATACGGTGTAGGTGGTCCCGTTGATTCCAGCAGTCGAGTTGACGCGGTCGATCGTGAGTTCAAAGATGAGCGGGTTGTGGGCGGTGAAGTTGATTCTGGAAGAGAAGTTTAGGGAGGGAGGGAAGATAAAGCGAAACGCACGAAAGCAGGTTGGTAGTCAACGTGTCGAGCTGGTGTCTTGGTTAGAACATTGGAAGTAAAAACAAACTGCCGTGCGCACGGTGATCGTCGCATTGACACCAGTAACAAACCCGACTCCTAGAGCATTGATGATCTCGCCCAGCAGGTTGTCTGCATGGACTTCGCCTTCAGCACGAGTCTCCACAGTCGGGATTGCGCCGACGCTGGCGATAGCAGCAACCGCAAGTCCAAAGATTGAGGAAAGGCGAACCATAGTTGGAGCTGCTTCTGGACCACGCTATCAGCCTATCATGGATGAAAATGGGTAAGGCATTACAGGAGAAGGGATGCGTAGCGGGGAGAAGCCACAGCGAGCATGGTTGTTCGCGATGGTAGGTTTTTATGGCCGGGTGTTTCGTCATGTGTGCTGCATCAGAGATTCGCGGGTTCGCCTGTCTAAATCTGTCCGAAAACATATGCTTCCCCAGAGTCAGATGACGAGTAAATCTGGGGGGCAGTGGGCGCAATTTGCACAAATATTAGGTAGCAGGGCCACATCTGGACGGACTTGTGCCGCCTTTCTGTTGTGTAGTTGGCTGATGGGGAGGGGAGCCGGAAATTCCAGGTATATAGGACCTCTTTCTCGTCTTGTGATAGTTTTGCGGGGAAACACGCAATTCGCCTATGATTTCGGATCCGCGGTTTCAGGGCATAGACATGGTAGGACGACTGGTGACTAGCGAATAATAAGGCACCGTTCCAAGTTCTTTCACAAATGTCGAAACAATTCAGATGAAGGATTCAAACCTGAGGCGTGACGGCGGCCGCTTGACGAGAAAGCCGGTCAAAGTCGCAAAAAATCAGATTCGAAGTGGTCTTGTGAGAGGCGGCCAAACCCGGGCCCGGGACAATATATTTCAACACTTGCGTTGAGGATTTGTTTGGATGGGAGCGGATCGGGAAGGGAAGTCGGAAGGAATGTTGACGGTTGAACTATTCACGACCGGATGTTGTGCAACTGCAATAGCTCTCTGAACAATCTCTAAAGCCAAGGTAAGAGGGTGATTATGTCACGTGTTTGACATCATCAAGGGTACGGCCACCTTTCCTTCCTCTCCGACTTCCATCTTTCTGTCCTCTTCTGTTTCTTTTCTCTGCTGAACACAACATGGGTCGTTGGTCGCAGCAAGATGAGGTTCGGGCTCCTGTTATGATATCTTCGTTGTGCTTACACGCTTGTCAGGACTCCGAACGACTCCCAGCAGGCATGACACGAATTGGTTATGATAGCGACACCCAGCGGTACTACTTTCGGGACAGAAATGGCTCTGTATGGCAAGGTGCTCAAGGTGCAGAGTTTAGTGAGATGACCAGAGGTATTTTCTTCGCTATTCAAACGAGAAGGTCGCTCATGATGGCTTTCAGTCGATGGACCGTCCGGTTACGACACTAACGAGGACCTGGAAGCTGCTCCTCGGCGCTCAGACGGCTACCAGCCTCTTGCCACTGATTCTGTAGGCTATTATTGTCAAATCATTGCCATGCACACCGCTTACCTGTGTTCGCAGTCTGCTCGGCTCTCACCCGCCTACTCGTCTGCCTACCGCACTCTATTCCCTTTCTTCCTCCTAATCGGCGTTGTATTGCTTCTGATCTGGCGACTGATCCTTTCTCCTGGCCTCGCAGCTCCCAAAAATCCTTGTCCCGACCCGGAAACACGACGGTACACTGTGGAACCTGGCGATAGCTGCTGGGAGATCGCCAAAGCAAATGGAGTGACGCTGGAACAACTTCGTCGTGCCAATTATGGTCTGGAATGCGAAAGGCTGATACCTGGCTCGACAATGTGTGTTCCCAAGGCCACACTGCCTAGCGATACCATGAAGAAGCGGGCGGTGGGCGTCAGTTATCGCAAGTGATCAAACGGAATAATCTATGCTATGTATTCGGGATGGACATGATTTTGACGATTTAATGTTACTTGTCGGAGTGTTTCGGACGAGTTCGTAAATGACGGAGATCCTAATGACAAAGACAGTATGACAAACATGCGAGAAGCCCTGTGCAGAGAAGTCGAAACCTCCCCGAAACTTGAGCGTTCGACTGCCCTGGTACTACATAACTGGCTAGCTAAACTTGGGGCACATCCCATGCTCCATCTGAAATGATGTGTGCATCATTTCGGACATGTCAGTAATTCCTTGGTATTTCTTGGAAGCTGGGTGGCCGACACAGAGCAACATTCGGTCCTCGTCTACGCCCTCCCTCAGCGAGATTCCGATATCACTAGGTGCAATTTGTGGCCAGACAGGCTGTCTTTGAGCAGCTTCGAACGACAGCGGGGGCTAGATGGTTTCCCACCTTCATTATCCTGACATCACGTGGACGAGAGCCGTTGTGCCGCTCGCGTAATAACGAATTGCTCTTGCCTCTTGACCACCACCCCACATCGAATGAGCTCGGCCCCCAACATATCTCAGCGTCATACCCGTCGTCTGCTTTACAGCGTTTTCTCCGTAGCTTCCCAATATGTGCACCGAACTCTCCAGAGCAACAGCTCTTCTACCAATGGCGGCGCAGGCGTTCTCATCAAACGCGAATTTGACCCACACAAACGTCAGGATATCGCCTTCGCTGGTGAGTATAAGCAATTCTAGGATGAAGCTCGTGTTAAGCGGCATCAACAGTACTCATTCCTTTCCTTGTCATGGCAAGCGGACTCTTTGCGGGCCTAACCCTGGGCTATATGAGCTTGGACGAAACCCAGCTCAACGTTCTTAGCATTAGTGGTACCCCGTGCGTGTCGCGTTGTCTTGTCATAAGCAGCATTTGCTGACCTCGGACCCACTAGGAAACAACGCGAGTATGCGAACAAGATCAAGCCCATTCGCCAAAACGGACACTTGCTCCTGGTCACACTACTCCTCGCAAACATGATCATAAATGAGGTGTGTTCCCTCCCCAAAGCTGCTCGATACCACGTTGAATACCACACCAGAGTCTGCCTCTTGTGGCGGAGCCTGTACTGGGTGGCGGTGTTCAGTCCGTTGTTGTCTCCACCGTTCTCATCGTTATGTAAGTCCTTTATGCCGTATTCAAACCTCATTAGAAGCACCGTGATGCGCAACGCGCCCACAACACGTCTTCTTCTCTGACGTCGTCACGTGGCAATATCTTTTTTGTGTTTTGGCTTCTGACCCTGTCTCAGTTTCGCAGAAATCATCCCACAGTCGCTCTTCACTCGACATGGGCTCTATCTTGGCGCGAAGATGGCTGGTTTGACTAAATGTCTTATCTACTTGCTGGTGAGTTGACCACAGGCGCTTAACGCCACGAACAGTTGGCTGATCCTGGATTTTCGCGAATTCACAGGGTATCTTCTCTTGGCCTGTCGCTAAACTTCTCGAGTTTACGCTGGGTCCGCACCATGGCATTATATATCGCAGAGCAGGCTCGTATTTCCTTGTGGTGTTCCCTCGATTTCCTGACAACATGATCAGAACTGAAGGAGCTTATTGCTATGCACTCCTCGCTCGCTACACATGGCGGAGATCTCAAGACCGACACCGTTACCATCATCGGCGCAACACTCGACCTGCAAGAAAAGGTTGTTCGGCAAGCCATGACCCCTATCGAAGACGTTTTCATGCTCTCCATCGACGCGAGTCTCGACTACGACTTGCTCAAGCAGATATGCATGACCGGCCACAGTCGCGTCCCTGTCTACGAAGAGGTCGAGCTCCACGGAAACAAGGTCAAGAAGATTCTCGGCATTTTATTGGTCAAGCAGTGTGTTTTGCTGGATCCTAAGGGTATATTTGTCTTGAGTCGTTGTCCTTCGTGCTCATTATCTGCGCAGATGCCATTCCTCTTCGCAAGATCCCGCTGAATAAGGTTCCGTTCATCCCTCATAACGAGCCGCTCCTCGGTCTATTGGACAAGTTCCAGGAAGGTCGCAGTCATATGGCCATTGTCAGTCGCTTTGGCATGGACAAGGTATGTTGTCTTCCCTCGTCATTCAGTCACTTGACCAGGCCACAGGCAGCGAGCGTCAAGCAGGCGGTCAAACGTGGTCTAGCTCAACGCCTTCGTGAACGTGTTGGCATGGCCGACTCTGATTCAAGCGACGAAGACGAGAAGGACAAGCAGAAGGAGGCGAACCGACGCAAGAAGAAGACCAAGAAGGCACGTGATCTCGAGGAGGGTATCGTCGAAGAGGTCGAGGGTGAGGAAATGCCTGGAGATGACGACGAAAAGGAAAAGGCAGACATCACCTTCCAACGGGGTCGCAAACTTGAAACTCCGACTGTCAAGAACAAGGACGAGGAGACCCAGTCTAAGAGTCGCAGAACAAGCTTTCATTTACCTAAGGCTGCCGCCGGGATGGCTTCATTCTCGACTTTGGAGCAGAGCATGCCTGCCGACGCTGTCTTGGGTAAAGAGGGTGTCGCTGATGTAAATTACCCTTCCGTTTGTGTTGTCCGGCTAATTGCGTTGCTAGTTCATGCAAAACTTCGATCCTGCTATGATGCCCCTTGGTATTATCACACTCGAGGACGTCTTGGAAGGTTTGCTTCTTACTTTCCTATTCTATCTTTACTAATCAGCCCAAGAACTAATCGGCGAGGAGATTTACGACGAATTCGACCCCCAAGGTGCCCATGGCGATCCCTATGTTCCCCCCGTTCGAATTGAAGTTGTACCTCCCGTTGTCGTCAGCCCATCTGTCGATGTTTCTTCTGGACCTGGTGCAGTCATCAAGGCCACTTCAAACCTCAAGGCGCCGGCTCCAGTGCTTAAACCACTTTCGCTCAAGGGTCTCAACTTCCTTCGCTCACGTAGTGCCCCCCCTACGCCTCGTGAACCTCCTGCTGGAGCCAATGTGTTGACTGGTGCTGCGAAAGAAAGTCCCGCTGCTCTCCCATCGCCTGAGGCAGATGCAGAAACGTCTCGTTTGAGCGAAACTCCCAGTACCGCAACGGCAATTTCTGTGTCCGCTGGGCCCGGAGTGGCTGGTCAAATTCTTCCCGAGGTCATTCCTGAACGCGACACGCCGTCTCCAACCTTGTCACTTACGCCTACGGTGCCTGATGAGCCGGTTCAACCGGAGATTCGCGTTCAACGGCCTTCCCCCGTGCAAGCTTATCCGACATCAATTCCACCCAGTGTTGTAGCTTCTCGTAGCGCTTCTCCGGCCCCATCGTTGGAAGCAATTTTACTTGATCGCAAGGCTCAACGCCGTCTGGGTGGGGCAGCAACAGCACCGACTGGATCGATTAGCGCAGCTATTGGAGCGGGCAATACTGCCAACGTCGGGAATGTCGCTTCGACGGGTCAGGGAAGCATGGCTGGAGCAAGAAATACAGCTAGCACCGGCCCCAAAGGCACTATGTTCAAGAGCAGTCCACTTGGTGGAGGTGAGCGGTCGGGCGTAGTTGTCGCCGAGCAAGTCAAGAGTCTGAAAGGTGGTGAGGGAGGGGCGGATGAGGAGGGCAAGGCGGGAGACAGGATACCGAGTGAGAAGGACAAGGAAGGTCCGGACATATGAGGTTTTGTCGGTGTTGAGTAATAACAGCCTGAGGAGAGTTTGTTTAGTTTCGTTAGCGTTCGTGTAAATTCTGATGTCTAGTTGTACTGCGAAAGACTGCAATTGTTGTCTTACGCTTGATAGGGCCGATATCGGCAGGCTTAAGGCCTTGAGGCCTGGCTTGAGGAGCTTCGGGAGTCTGAGACTTGGAATGGGATTCATCTGCGCGTGACCGAAACTGTAACACTCCATCGTCTCTTGACTTTAACCCCCATGTTGCTTGCTAAATTGCGTCGCATCTGCTCCCATTACCTCTTGCGGCTCTCCAAAAGCGCCGAGGCTCTCCTCGCAGTCAGGTTGTCCCTCGTCATCGTCAAAGAAGTTCTTGATTTGTCGAAGTCGACCACAACGACTTACCCGCCACTCAATCTTCCCCTCGTTCTCACTCTTCCGCCTGCCCCCATCCGCCTCACACTTCCGCCCGCCCCCGTCCCTCCCCCAACCAAAGCGTTGCCCATCCTCATACGAGGGACAGTTGTGCTTGGCTCCGGCCTATATCAAGTCCCACCAGGCTTCGTGTTTCTTTCTTTCTTCTGGATTTTTTCCACTGTATTGTTGGTCTATGGGGCCGCAAATAGACTGGGTGTGGCTGCCGCTGTGCGGAAGTATCTCTGCGGTGTGAGAGTTTTCTTGGATTGCGTGAAATATGGTGCCTGGGCAGTTGCTCCTCTCGTTTACTGGAGCCAGGTTGGCTTGCGCAAGATACTGGATTGTCTTGGAAGGTGTGTTCTGTGTACAGAATTTGTGTTAAGTGACTCAAGACCTACAGGTCTACGGGTTCATATGCGACCGAAAATTCGTGTCGTCTCTTCCATTCGGTCTCTATTATCGTCCGAGCCATTCCTTTTGTCGAAAAAGCTACAAGCTGGAGCAAGCACCACTACGAAGTTGGTATTCACAACACGAAGATATTTATCCGTGCTACGATCAAAGCTTTCGACAACGACGAGCTTACTCTAACGCTTACGCTCGCTCGCTCGACCATGAACTGTGACGGCGTCATCATCTTCGTGATCAGCGAGCTTGTCTCCAACTACTGGCGTTGGTGGTTTCTCTGGCGTCTCGATCCTGGAGGAACACCACAGCGTCGCTACCCCTTCATTGCCGGAACTCCCGATAGCTGGGACGGATTACTGCCAGCGCCCGAGGTCAATGCATTGTCAGCCGCAACGCACGGCTTATGGGGCTCTTCTGCTTGGAAACCCGTCCAAACGTTCAATATCAAAAGGCCATTTGACAAAACTAAATTCACGCGAATAAGACTACTGGGACGAGGCACATATGGGAAGGTCGTCGAAGTCTCTACCTATCGTGGAATACACATCGCCCTCAAGAGAGTAAAGCGGCGAGGAAAGAAGTCGGACCACTACACTGCACGACAAGCCTCGACTATGCTTTGGAACATGCTTGTGTCCGAAGTCCAGGTCCCCATTCTCATGCGCAATAATGCCGCATTTCCTTCCGTCTATGGTGTATGGTGGGACGACGCCAACTACTATATCGCGATGGTGTGTGTTGTTTTCCACCTTCTTCGTCGTGCTGACAATTGCTACAGCAGCTGGGTGACCAATGCCTAGCGGACGTTGATCATTTCCCCTCTCGTTTAGACATTTTCTGCTACGGCCGTCAGCTTGTATGATCATCTCCGGTGTTTTCTGTTCTTTGTGCTAATCATTCTCAACAGGTTGCCGCACTCGAATCGTTGCATGCCCAATATATCGTCCACCGCGACCTCAAACCCGAAAACATTCTTCTGAAAAAGGGTCAAATCATGATCATCGATTTCGGTCTCGCTCGCGTTTTCCAACCAGGAGCAGGTCCTGCTCGCTTCTGGGCCCACGAATCAGGAGAATATCGGCTGGAGGAAGTAGCAGGGACGACAGGCTACATGTCTCCCTTGGTCGCAAAAGGTTATCCATATTCGTTCGACGCCGACTTGTGGAGTTTTGGAGTGATCATATACCAATGGATCGTGCAACGCGTAGGTTTCTCCCCATAGCTTGACTGAGGTTTTGACGTTGTTAGTGGGACCCGCCTCGAATCACACCTCTTGCAAAGCGCTTCCAGTTGGATCCAAAGGACGACCTGGAAGATGACGAATTCGACTTCTTCAAGAGGATATTTTCGCTGGAGCGCGGGCAGCGGTTTCAGAGCTGGAAGGAGGTTCGCAACCACCCAATGTGGTTGGGGTTGATATAACCATACGACGAAAGTAAAGCACCCAAGGATGATCGACCGGAGAGGCTGCGAGAGGTGTAAACAGGCAAAAGTTTTGGTCGAGCGGGAGTTTATGAGGGGGACGCCCTTCTTAAACTCTTGACCGAAGCTTTCTGCTCTCTCTCGTAGTAGTATCCGGCTTCGTCAAGTGCTCGTCATTTTTCTTTGCTTCTTGTTTTCTGGATTTCTTCTTGGATTTTTTTTCTCAGTACATCGTCATCATCCGATGTCTAGTAGGGACAAATTAAATAATGGATCGTTTGCTTCATAACCGTTTCGACCGCCTGAGGACAGTCGTACATTAGGTTGATGGTGATTGGCAATGATTGCAAGGTAACTTAGAGCCTCTCCTCGAGAACCCAACCAGTTGCTCTGTTACGGTCCAAACTGCTCCGCGTTCGACGATTAACGCAGAGCGGGCATACCGCGATCGAACTTGAAGGATAGCCAAAGTCACGTGGACGAACAAGACTCTCTCTCTCTCTAGACTCTACTCTGCTACTCTGAATCTCTCTCGGCTTCAAGTATTTCCCTCTGCTTCTGGCGATCACCCATTCTACAGACGAGTATCCCATGGAGAATTCTACGCTTCCGATAGAACTTGAGTGAGAGATATTCGAGTTGGCCGCCGACATCTGCAGCATACCCAACCTCATGTTAGTTGCTCGGCGTATCAAAGTCTGGTGGGTTTTGACCACTTGTTCTAGCTCTTTGACTCCCATGGCTCACCGCGCGCAGGCTCGAGCCCATGTTGTTTCGTGTGGTCGTCATCACACACGACCATACAGCCCCGACCCAGAGAGCGATTTCGACAGCTGTGGCGACCAAACCCCCTTCATTCTTCCGCGGCGTACGCAGGTTTATCATCGAATTCCTAGACAAGTCGAGCGATCCTCTCTCGGATTCACGCCCTCTTGCCGCTCTGCACCTGCTTGGAGGGCTTCGCCATGCACCATATCACACCGAAAATCTCTGAAGAGGTCTTGTCACTTGTCCGAGCCCTGAACCCCGCTCTCCGCTATCTCTCGTTCCTCTGTTTCCAAGCAATTCCACACCCTGCTCCACCAAAGACTCGTTATTCCGTCTCATAACCCATCTGGATCTCCTCAATCCGGGCTCCTCGTACGACCCACGGATACCGCCGTTCCTTATTGGCCTCCCCTTGTTGACGCATCTGGCGATGCCTGTGGCCCTTCCGACCGAATATATGGAGCGGATTCTCAGCAAAGCCGGCTGCCGTCGCCTGCAAGTGGTAGCCCTCCTCATCACTGCGGATACAACTCTATTCCAAATCGTCTCAGACCAGCTCCCAAGCGAAATAAAAGATCCACGCGTGGTTGTCACCGTCGAACACGACTGGTTCGATAGCATCATGCCCGCACAAAAAATGTATCGCTACTGGTATGCTGCAGAGTGGCTTATCGAACAGAGACTCCGAAATATCCGCATCAGTGATGCGAGTCATGCTCCCCACTCAAGTTCAGCGCGCATCGAAACCGTGAATTTGCACAATAGGGATTGTACGCTATGTATGGCAGTCTGCACCGTCTCCTTTGCCCGTGATCACAACTTCCAGTCCTTCTTGACCGAAGTGACTGGGGAGAAACTGAAATGTTGGGTCAGATAAATGCTTCAGTCAACTATTGAGGCTTACGCGATGAACGAGCCGATAGCGCAGCTGTAACTCAAATCAGCCTTGGAGCGACGTGAAGCGGAAGCAACAAACCCGGCAGGAGCAGGACTGCAGTAGTTGTTGAGGGCTTCAACACTGTTCCCAGTGCAATTGGCGTTGCAGAACTTGAACACATCGATTTGAGGGTTCACTATTCAAGCCAGATCAGCAAATAGCAAGAAGAAAAGAAAATCTGGCTCACAAGAAAGGTCGACCTCGAGATTGGTCCAAGAGACTGGCTGGGGACTGGTGACGCAGACACCAAAGTCGATGGAGCGACTGCATATGCGTTAGTAAAGAAGACGTTGAGCAGTAGTAGTTGGACTGACGGTGGTGCTGGGAGTGGTGGGAAGGTCTTCGCGGCGCCAGAGTTATGGTCGCATCCGCCGTTGTTGTACAGGCGCCAGTTGTATGCCTGGACAGCAGCAAGTTGAGCGACAAAGAAGATGGAGGCAGCGGTGAGCTTCATTTGCATGTTGGTATTGAGGTTGTTTGTTTGAACTGAGGGAAATAAGCTGACCGCACACTGTTTATAAAGTCGTCAGTACGCTTGGAAATGGTCATGTGAACGCGAACAGGGGAAGAAAAGGCGACTTACTCGTTGTTTGGGCCTGTTGATGCAAGATCTTCATATGGATAACTCATCTCCAATAGAAAATCCGGCGAGCGCTGTCGTGGAGGAGTGTACTAAGTTTTATTGCGCACAAGACATGTTCCTTGACGCGTGCAAAGCTCAACGATTGCCGGTTCGTTAAGGGCATAAATGTGTTGGAGTTTGGACTCGGTCCAGGAGCAAATGATGACGTGGACTGTTTTCGACGAGCAAATGCAGTCTACGCTGTCCGACTGATGTACATGCATGTACCAGGTCAGTCATAGTAGGCATACCACGATGTGCTTAGTGGTTGTCGTTCGAGAAAGAGACTACTTAGAGTCACTGTCACCGTGACGGTCAACATCAACTTGAATCAATCCTGAAAGACAAGCCACTGCCTTTGCTATCGGAGCAATTCCTTCAACGCGCTGAGTCCATGTATAGGCGACCGTAGTGCATATGACGATGAACATGAACCTTGTTTGCTGCTGGGGGCTGGAAACATTCAAACTTGAAGTTCCTTACCTCCAGGACTCAAGTTAGTACTAATTCAACCATCAACGGTCACCGCGAGCCTGAGGACCAACCGCAACAGCGCACGCTCTCGAGGAACCGGAGATTGTAATCGCCTGATTCTGCGCTGGTCTCTGGGGGTGCTGAACAGCGCTCGCCGGATTTTCTATTGGAGATGAGTTATCCATATGAAGATCTTGCATCAACAGGCCCAAACAACGAGTAAGTCGCCTTTTCTTCCCCTGTTCGCGTTCACATGACCATTTCCAAGCGTACTGACGACTTTATAAACAGTGTGCGGTCAGCTTATTTCCCTCAGTTCAAACAAACAACCTCAATACCAACATGCAAATGAAGCTCACCGCTGCCTCCATCTTCTTTGTCGCTCAACTTGCTGCTGTCCAGGCATACAACTGGCGCCTGTACAACAACGGCGGATGCGACCATAACTCTGGCGCCGCGAAGACCTTCCCACCACTCCCAGCACCACCGTCAGTCCAACTACTACTGCTCAACGTCTTCTTTACTAACGCATATGCAGTCGCTCCATCGACTTTGGTGTCTGCGTCACCAGTCCCCAGCCAGTCTCTTGGACCAATCTCGAGGTCGACCTTTCTTGTGAGCCAGATTTTCTTTTCTTCTTGCTATTTGCTGATCTGGCTTGAATAGTGAACCCTCAAATCGATGTGTTCAAGTTCTGCAACGCCAATTGCACTGGGAACAGTGTTGAAGCCCTCAACAACTACTGCAGTCCTGCTCCTGCCGGGTTTGTTGCTTCCGCTTCACGTCGCTCCAAGGCTGATTTGAGTTACAGCTGCGCTATCGGCTCGTTCATCGCGTAAGCCTCAATAGTTGACTGAAGCATTTATCTGACCCAACATTTCAGGTTCTCCCCAGTCACTTCGGTCAAGAAGGCAAAGGAGGACTTGAAACTGTAATCACAGCTTCAAGCGGTCGCCAGCAACGTTGTGAAGTACATAGTTGTACAGACCTCGAATATATCACAATTCCATTTTCAGTATTGCCCAGATGGACACTAAAGAATCCCATATAGAGCAAAGAACAAAACCTTGCAGTATCCGCAATATTGACATGGTTACGTAAGCAGCAAACAAGCACAGTCAGAGTTCCTGGCCTGCCAACCAACGGCGAACCATCTCCAATGACTCCTTCGGTTTGTCATACGGGGCCTAGAAAGCATATTAGCACAAATCGACTTAACCCAGACAAGATTACCGACCATATGGCCAGCACCATCGATTGTTGCGAAAGTAAGCGGCCCAGCAGCCCTCATCAGTCCTGCCCGTTTCCCGGCTACCAACCACTCTCTCAGCGGCTGGGCTACGAACTCTTTCTGCCCTATCCATTCCAACGTAGTTGTCGAATACTCGTTGCCGATCCAATTGCACGCAAAGTCGTAATTTCCAGCATAGACCAAAACACGGATGCCTCTTTCGAGAAGGTTGGAGATATATGCGGTTGAGCCGTGCATGACGTCGCCCTGAAGCCCACCAAATGCAGCGATGACATCCCAAGCACAAGAATCAAAGTGACTCTGAGAAGGATCAACACCAAGGGCCTTTTGGATGTCGGGACGATTGAGGTATTTGACGATCTCGCTGTAAAAACCATTGAGTAACAAGAAGTGCAGATAAACGACACAACCAACTCCGTGATAGAGTAGCACAACCCGTTAGAATCAGCACAGGTCTGCGAAATGTCGTATTGGTTGCGTCCCAACGCAACATATGGGGCAATGAAGGCGTCCATACAGAAACCCATGGCGGCAGAGCAGTTGATCGAGTCGAAAACATCTTGACATGATTCCTTCAGCCATCTCATGCAGCGCGGGAGCTTTCTCTTCATTGTAACACACGTCCTATGTTGGCGTTAAGTCTTGAAAGAATGAAAATCAAGACGATAGTCTCACTGAATGGTCTGAACGGGTGGTATAGAAGCTGAGCTACATTGCATCTCATACCACCCTTTTACAATCGGTGGCGCTTCGGTCATCCCATTGCCTGAGTGAAGTTATTTCAGCGGACGTTTCCAAACAAGAAAAACCTACCAATCATCAGGGAAGTGAGGTTGATTGGCGCAATTCCTGCTTGAACGATATACTGGTTCTGATCGTAGATAGCGGCAGCGAAGACAGGCAAAAGACGGCCCTGTCGAACGTGAGATGGAGTCAAATGTAGAGAGAGATACAGACGGCATACGACTCCCCAGCAAGGTGAAGTCCTCTACCTTGAAATTTGCTGAAATGGGCGAAGAAGATAGCAATGAAAGCAGCCACATCTTTTGCCGCCTCTTCTGTGGTGCTCTGTCACGCGCGTCAAATTTCGAGCCCATATGCAACGACGCAACGCACCACAGACTCGCCGTAATCTGCGTAAGAAAAACCAGCACCGATAGGCTGGTCCACGAAGAAGATGTTGGCCTTTGCTTTTATGAGCGCCTCAAATCTTAGACAAGCACGGTATTACATTCGAGTTCCACGATTCGGGGTGATAGACAGTGCCATTTTCCGCATTGTAGACCCGGCAGGGACCGAGCTCCATGAAAAGTCCCATAGACGAGGAACATGCAGGACCTAGGCCGCTTAGCGTTGCAGTCCTGAGAGGTTGGTATTGTTCGAAACTCACCTCCATTGGTCCAAAATATCATGTCGTCGGTGTCTGGATTGTTTCGGCTTTCGAAGAAGTAGAAGAACAGGTGGCGGGCCTCGATGTCGATATAGCCCGTGTACGAGCTGGAGAGCGTGAGCAAGACGACAAGCATCCTGATAAGACACATACGCAACGCCTCCATCGCAAAAATCACTCTTTTTGACCCGCACTCGGTGGCTTGGAAAGGCAGGATGGTGGAGGGTGGTGAATGTTGCCTCTGTGAGCATATTGAGCGATCCAGTAGGCGTGAACCCATAGCTATCTTCGAGGGGAGGAAGAACAGTTTGCGAAGCAAGGCTGGTGGCAATAAAGGCGTGGGTCGCGAGATAGATGGCCATGGTGAACTTTTCAGAAAAGGATTTCACCATCGCGCTGCGCAATGCTAGCAATTTGAAGGCTCCACGGTAAGCACGGGCATAAGAGTTGGGCGTGTGTCCAATAGAAAGACATGCCGCAGCAACGTATGAAGTCAAGTCGCTGCTGTCGCTGTTGATGGCACGTGATCAGCGACTTCCAGGCTGCACCGTTCTTGCACCTCATTCGATCCCACCATCAAATGCGGCCAGTTGGTCACAAATACAAGAGAACAAAGCCGTATAGTCATAGGTCGACAAAGTCTTTGTGTCAAACGCGATTTGTCAAATGCCAGTGTACGATTCTTCATCCTCGTGCCCTTTGACGAGAACTTTGCGCGTGTTGACAGCCTCCTCATAAACAGACTCCGAAGATTTCTACTGCCTCACCAGCTACCAATTTTGTGTCTAAACTATGTCTACGCCGGAAATGGCTGGAACACTTCTGAATCATACGGTTCATGCCGACTACGAGCTCGCAACGCAAACGGGCACGGAGACGTTTATTTCTCTCCGACCAAATCTCCAAACGAAACTCGATATCCTGCAAACACAACTTCTAGCCACTCTAAAGGAAGTTGCTGACGCACAATATCTTGCCGAATTGTGGGAGGACCGGATACTGGATGCCCAAGAGCAGCTGGAAATGATGATTTTGGACAAAGAGACTGCGGAAGAGCGAGCAGAGGCGGCAGAAGCTGAGGTAGAGAACCTGAAAGAGCAGCTAGCGATCGTGCAAGTCGAATTGAACGTACTGAAAGAAGCCAACAGCGCCTCAGCCAGCATTGGCGTGGACGACATCCTTCACCGGCAGCTTGATAAGGAGAAAAACATATTGAAGGATGCTCTCTTGAGACTCCGCGATGTGGCCGAGGAGATGGATCACGAACATCGTACAAGGATAACGGAGCTGGAGGGAGAGCTGATTGATGGCATGGCATTGCAAGGTTCGTCATTTACTTGTTCTTCGCAGCGTTCTTAGCTCATCGTCTATTCAGTGAAGTATGAAACAACTGGACTGGCGCTCGTGAATGCCGAACTCCGAATTGATGATCTTGAGACACAACTTGACGATGTCCTTGATACAGAGGAAATAGTCCTCCACCTGACAGAGCGCAACATAATCCTCCACCAAGTATGCTCTTGTTCAACAGTATCTTCATCTGACGTCTGCCAGGATATTCAGGAAATGCGTATCACAATCGAAGAGCTTGAAACTCTCCGATGTTTGGATGACGAGTTGGAGGAAAACCATGTCGACACTGAACGGGCTCTGGTGGAGGAGCTTGGTTTGTGTGTTACTTGATCAAAAAGATTCAACTTGACAGCTCTTGCCCATAGAGTTGAAAGATATTGAAATTCGAGAACATGTTAACCGGGCCGGGGCTCTCAAGGATGCATGTGCCGATCTGGATCGTACTATTCGACAGTTCCGAAAACGTGTTTTGCAGCTACAGAGGTCTATTCTGTCGCCTTTTTGCTTCTAGTTTTGCTTACGCATTTGTACTCCAGCGAAGTCCAGACTCTCCGCATAAAGCTCGAAATCGCTGAATCCAATGTACATGATATTACTCAAAAATCGGCAGCAGTAATGGCGCTCAACTTCCGGCTCCAATCTTCCGTGTACAACCACCAAGCAACAATGATAGAGCTTGAGTTATGGAAAATGGACGCTCGCGAGGGAAAGGAGCTGCTCGACATCGTCCAGCCATACCTCCCTCAAATCTACGTTGATACAGACGAGAATGCTACTCGTTGTTATCTTCTCTTTCAAAGGCTCGGTAACAAGGCCGACCTGATTGCTAACACAATTACCTTGAACAATGGTCTGCCGGAATCGTTGAAGGGTTCAGTTTCAGATGAACTCATCGGGGTTTGTAATGTATGCCTCTGTTGAAGGTTTCGCTTTTGAGACTGATGTTGCTATTGAAATAGATGCGTGGTCGTATTTATGCCCTCTCAATACTGTGTCAACGCTTTGCCGCTATAATACGACGGTGCGATGTCGATTCCTTCCTCAAATTTGGCCGACTCTATCCCGAATTTGCTCCCGCGGAAAGAAAGATTGACCTGTATATCGACTCGCTAATGAAGGATGAGCTCGACAGAATCGAATGTGTGGATGATATCGTGAAGTGAGCTCCTTTGCTCACCATTTTTTCCTAGATTGCCAATTTACTTGAATCTAGACTCACAACGCAGTTCGGCTACCTTGTTGAAACCTACTTCGATGGATTTGAACTGGACCTCGCCCAGCGCGAAATAGGCTATATCGTGTCCTTCGACTCTGATTTGGATCTCTTCGCGGCTTCCATCGGTTTCTGTAAAACTTTGGTAACATCCTTGGTTCAAGATGAAGGTTCGCATGGTACTATGAACTGGGGCTTTCAGTTTTTGACCATCTTCTAGAGACTATACTTGACCTCGAGGAGTATGACATCGAAATCGAGTTGTCACAACCACTCCAACGGCTGATGGAGCAGTATGCAGTCGCCAAGGCTCTATCTCAGTACGTTCGTGTTTCGAACTTCGTCGATGATACTCAAAAAACCCGTTTAGACAGCTAGTCCAGCGAATGAAAAATATTTTGGGTGGCTCGACCGCTCTCGGAGAGCATCTGGTCCCGAAGCTGAAAGCCCTGAGCCATTCCGTTGCCAAACTCGCCAACTTCAGTCTTTTCTTCGCCCAACAAATCATGCCCCATCTCGACGATGTTCGCGCTAACAACACACCGTTCGAGCTGATGACGATCATGTCTTGCGTGAAGCAAAGTGTGCTGGCTACCGTTACAAGAAATATTAACCCTTGGCGCAACGCCTGGGAGCCAATTAGCCAGTCAGTCGCGCAGCTAGTCCAGGAGGAGAAAGGGCTATTACGGTCAATGATGGAACACGACAATGTAATCCAAATCTCGGGCATATCTCCATGGACGGCTCGTGTCGAGCAAGTCAAAGGGAGCATTAAAGATGTCGTCACCAGTAATCTCGAAGCAAAACGACAGCTTGTACAACTCAATGGCCGAATACGCTACCTCGAACTGCTGACAGCACAGAAGGACCGGAAAATGCAAGAGCTGGTTGTCAAAAACACTTGTATGCGACACAGGGTGGAGTTGGTAAAGAAACAAGCCGAGGCAATCAGGGAGCAGGACGGGATTATCGTCGAAGCAAAGCGGACGCAGCGTGCACTTCAAGAAGCCTTGGATCAGGTTGGGGCCATCTGGATGCAGACACAGAAATCATTTATCGGCAGCTGAACGCTGTGCCAGTGGCTGACAGCTGTTGGGTCAGAGTCGGTCTGTGACCCCCCAAGTTTCCGAGTCAGTGCATTACATATTATACCAAGTTAGAAATGGTGTGTGTGATACTCCTGCGAATGTAAATAGCGTATCATAGCGTATCAACAAACTAACTCATAGAAAGATGTACTGAATTTGGCGCAATTCTGGAGACCGGATTTCCTCTTTCATTGCTTCACTGACATGTGACATGAGCCGTTTTTTCTATGTTATGAACGGGTCCTCACCAAATCGGTCAGAGGGGAAAATGGCGATCATTTCAAAGACTCAACTTGTTCTAGACCAATCAGAAAACTTGAGCTTTCGCTGGCGCCAACCTTAGTGAGGCTGCCAGGCCGCCTCGTGCGCGTCTCGTACTTTCCGACGGCCCTCCGGCTCTGCAAAAGGGACGGGAATGGGGGAAAACATCACAGACACTATGTTCCGTCTCGTCAGGCGAGGCAGGGCTTGATGGACATGCTTCAAAATCGCATCTCGGTTGAAAATAGGGCAGTCGGCATCTGTTCCGAAACTATCAAAGACTTCGAACATGACTTTCTTGAGGTGGGGAAACTTGGCAAGCACCACTCGGTCGAGCTGCCGCCCGAGGGAGTGGCCAGGGCAGTCAGTAAAGCCGCGGCGGCATTGCCATTCGTGGTGAGGAGAGGTGATGAGCAGCTCAGATATCTGATTATCGTCGTCCATCTCGGAAAAGAAGCGCCAGTCGTGCTTAGGATAGGACGAAAACTGAACTTCGATGGTCTGCAGGGACCGAAAATCACGGAGGTGGAAATGAACGCCTAGAGTTGGATCTGAGGAGTCCATCAGCGCGTACATGAAGAAAGACATGGGTGGGCACCCTGCGAGACGATCTTCAGCTCCTTGATTTTGGGGCAAATAAGGTGGATGGGTCCAACACTGGCGGGCCCCGGAAGGCCCTGATAGCTCAGGGTACGAACTTGGGTCAAATCAAGGGGAATTGCCAGGTCGCGAAGGACCGGTACTGCGGCGGAAGTGAGAAGAAGCCTGCTCAGGCTCGCAATTTTAGGAGTTGGGTTCGAGGAGTCTGTTAACTGGCGGCAATCTTTCGAAGGAATGTCGCACCCAATGTCGCGCCCCAATAAAGAGAGATCTGTAAGGGATGGAGAGCAATGGGTGATGATGCTTTTGAAGTAACAGGCGCTCCATGCGTATCCTGCAAAATGGAGGCTTAAACGACGGAGTCCAGGAGAAGCAACTAGTTGCTGCAAGTTACGTAACACTTGGTTCTGCTCATCGTTGGACGGAATCCACCGGAAGTGGAGTTCTTTTAGAGATGGCCAGTTTCTGTCTGCCAACGATTTGAGGATTATCGGACTACTGAGGTCAAGCTTCAGTGTCTGTACGTGGGAATTGAGGTGAGGGGAGGTTTTGAGGATATCCAATAGACGTGAAAGCCGCTGGAACCAAGAGATACGAGGAGGGGTGTAATTCAAAATCTTCAAGTCAGTGGGCATATCGAACCCAACGTGAATTTGCTTGAAGAGGCGTGATTGAGCCCAACAGGCGAATCTGCCGCACACTAGGGCACAAGATTGGAGGGTTCTATCATCATCGACAACGTGGTGCACGACGATACAATGCTCGAGGTCTGATGGGAGTAGAGACATTGAATTCGATGTTGGCTGTGACAGTCACAGTCGGAATTTGTTTTTCTGGTTACTAGTATTATCCCCTTTAAATTTCCTTTAGAAGCTTGCCGTAAACATCCAGCAGAAAACGGACGTAGAAATATTGCAGCGAAGATCATAATCGAATAACTTTCGAGGGTGGTCGAATCGGACTGAACTGATAAGTAATATAGAAACTTGATAGGTGAAATGCTCCAGTAGCTAATTCCTTGGTTGTTTAAAATTCGGTCCATTGTGCTAGTCCGATAAGCACAATCAACTTGAACCAGAGCGGCTTCAGACTCTTGTACCGACCTAATTGCCATAGCACAACCCGTCAGAATCAGCACAGGTCTGCGAAATGTCGTATTTGTTGCGTCCTGTCAGGGGAACCTCCCTTTCGGCCCGGAGACGCGCCCGATTCCGGTCCGACTCCGGTTCCGACTCCGGTCCGGCCCTCCATCTCGCCCGCACAATCACCGATCCGTCAACGCCCTCCCGACGGTCGCCCTGGGACCTCGCCTGCGACGCCGCCCAAGCCTTCTGTGCCCGACAGCGGCAGCTACGGACAAGCAGTATATAGTCAGCTACCTAGCAGGCGGACCCTTAGAGTTTCTTCTCTTTGGATCCTCCCCTGCTAGGTCAGCTTCATTTGTATTCGCTTACCAATGTTCACGCTTTGGATCCTCCCCTGCTAGGACCTTGATCTCAGGCCTCCGGGGTTGCCCTTACAGCAGAAGAAACTCTCTACGGGATCAACCGGACAAGATTGCCAGGTTCGGCGCTGACTCAGGCTCGAGTACGAGTCCGTTCCGCCCTCGTCACCGCCCCTGCCACTTGTCCCCTCCTCCTCTACTCCTGTGGTCCCCGCACCCGTCATGCCGTCCGGAGTCACTCCTACCGCAGACGCCCGGCTGGACTCACTCGAGGCGAAAATCGATAGCCTAACTGAGGCCCTTGCTTTACTCACCAACCAGGCTTCCGCTGCCGCTGCCGCCGCTAATAATGCTGGCGGACCCCAAACACCATCGCCGGAGACGTCGATTCCGACTCCGACTCCGGTCCAGGGCGACTCGAAGCCCTTTTTGGCGACATCAACCTCGCCTCAAAATTGGTCTTGCGACCAAACCCCCCGTTCACCTTCAACGGCGACCGGAAACGCGGGCCGCGCCGTTCCTCTCGCGGTCCGCACCTACGCCCGCCTTGCCCCTGAGGCCTTCGTGGTCAACGGAGAGGCGAGCGAGGAAAAAGGCTGTCCGCTATGCCATGTCGTTTATGGCAGAAGGACCCGCTCAGCAATGGGCGGAGCGCCACGGAAGCAAAGCCCCGTTTCCGTTTCCGTCCTGGGGCTCGTTCGTTTCCGAGTTTCGACTCCGGTTCGTCGAGGAGAACGAGCAAGATCACGCTCTCTCCAAGCTGGAGACTTCCGCCTATCACATGGGCACAAAGGATGTCTACCAGTACACCGACGACTTCGAGGACCTGATGGACCTCGCCGGATTCAAGACGCGCTAGTCAAGGTGACCAAGTTCCGCCACGGACTTGACCCCTTGATCAACAACGGAATCACGTCCTCGAACGACCCCCGGACCTCCGGGATTACCTTAGCTGGCGCACCCGGGCCTTCCGTCAATATGAGGCCCTGGTCCGGGCCAAGCTGATCAAGTCAGCCGCCCCCAAGACGCCTGGCGGTTTGATTCGGACTCCGTTTCCGGTCAACCGCATCCCGGCTCCGGCCCCTTTCCGCCCGGTGGCTCCGGTCGTGCCACCCGCGGCCCGCGCCCCCGCTCCGGCGCCTCCAGCTCCCGTCCCTATGGAGTTGGATCGCACCAGGGCTCGGGGTGCTCCTCGTCGCGCCTGCTTCAGGTGCGGCGACCCAAACCATCTCGCCCGGGATTGCCCCCTCCCCGCCGATGTCCGCTCGATGGACATCCTCGACGAGGTGATCCAACAACTCGGTGACGAGATGTTAGCGGAGTTGATCGCCCGCTACACGGACACAGCTGCCCTGCCGGAGACGACAGCGGAGTCGATGGCCGGAGAGGATTTTGTCCCCCGCGACGAGTGACTGGTGTGCCCTCGTTTGCGTCTATAAATCGTTTTGCCTCTTTGTATGATGAATGCAGTTCCTTGCCCTACAATGAGCCCGAAACGAAAGACACACCCTCTCCTGCCCCCCTCGACTCCGTCTCCGACTCCGCCCGCGACTCCGGTCATCGTCCTCCGCCGCCTCACTGCCTGGGAAAAGAAACTGCCCAAGCAGTACACCGTTGCCGCTGCCCCTGGGGCGAACTCCCTCCACCTCCCGTTAGAGCTCGAGTCCACCACCAGCGCACTGAAGCTCTCGCTCTCTGGGCTTGTCGACTGTGGTGCCACCTCCGACTTCATTGACACGAACTATGTTGCTCGGAATGGCATTCCGGTCCGCACTCTTGATCAGCCGATTCCGGTTTTCAATGTCGATGGCACCCCCAATGACGCTGGCTCCATCAAACAGATCGCGGACTTGGTCCTGCGCTACAAGGGCCATGCCGAACGAGTTCAGCTGGCCGTCACCCATCTTGGCAAGCAAGACCTCATCCTGGGGTATTCCTGGTTGCGGAAACATAACCCAGAGATCGATTGGGAAACCAAGGAGGTCAAGATGACACGGTGCCCCCGCAATTGCTCGACCTGCCGTGAGGAAGAGCGGGTCGAACGGACCGAGTTGCGGCGACTCCGGTCGCTTCAGAAGCGTCTCCGCTCCGGCCCGTTCCCCTCGGTCTGCGCCATGGACCTTTCTGGGTCTGATGACGGAGACGATTCCGTCTCCGGTGACGACTCCGGCCTGCCTGATCTGACGCCGGACTCCGACGACGACGATGACGATGGTCAGCTTGAAGATGGTGACCGCATCTTCTACACCTCGTTCCGCCCCTCGGAGGAGATACGCGCTGGCAGTACTGTCTCGCAACGCCTGGCCGAAGCCTTCGCCAGGAACTCCGCCCCTCCGCCCTCCGAGATCCCGGACTGGGCTAAGGAGTTCCAGGACGTCTTCAACAAGGAGTCCTTCGACACGCTACTGGAGCGGAGAGCCTGGGACCACGCCATTGAACTTGTCCCCGACGCTAAGCCCACCAACTGCAAGGTGTACCCCATCTCGCCCCCTCGAGCAACGCGAGCTCGACGCGTTCATCGAGGAAGGGCTTTCGACGGGCCGGATTCGCCCCTCCAAGTCTCCGATGGCGTCTCCGGTCTTCTTCGTCAAGAAGAAGGACGGCGGACTCCGCTTCGTCCAGGACTACCGTGCTCTCAATGCGATGACTGTCAAAAACCGGTACCCCCTTCCGCTGATCAACGACCTCATCAACCGGCTCAAAGGCGCTCGTTACTTCACCAAACTCGATGTCCGTTGGGGCTTTAACAACGTCCGGATCAAGGAAGGTGAAGAGTGGAAAGCGGCTTTCCGGACTAACCGAGGCCTGTTCGAGCCCTTGGTGATGTATTTCGGCCTGACAAACTCTCCCGCGACGTTCCAAACGATGATGAATGACATTTTTCAGGACCTCATCCTCTCCGGAGACGTCATGATCTACCTTGACGACATCTTGATCGCCCATTCCGACCTCCGGAAACACCGGCAGATCGTTCAGGAGGTCTTGCGGCGACTCCGAGAGCACAAGTTGTACCTCCGAGCGGAGAAGTGCGACTTTGAAAAATCGTCAATCGAGTACCTCGGAGTCATCATCTCCCACAACCACGTCGAAATGGACCCCGTCAAGGTCGCAGGCGTCTCCGCTTGGCCGACTCCGGAAACAAGAAGGACATTCAGCAGTTCCTTGGGTTCGCTAACTTCTACCGCAGGTTCATTCGGGACTTCTCGACCCTTGCGCGCCCTCTCTTCGTGCTCACCAAGAAGGACCAGCAATGGACTTGGGGCGACGCGGAGGCCTCCGCGTTCCAAGCGATCAAGGACGCGGTCACCTCGGAACCGGTCCTGGCGATTCCGGACGACGCACGGCCTTTCCGACTCGAGGCGGACAGCTCTGATTATGCGACGGGGCGGTTCTTTCACAATCCGCCCCGGACGGGAAGTGGCACCCTGTAGCATTCTATTCCAAAAGCTTAAATGATGTCCAGCGCAACTACGAAATCCACGACAAGGAGATGCTCGCGATCATCCGCGCACTCGAGGAGTATAGACACTTCCTCGAGGGCGCCGCGCACCCTGTCGAGATTTGGACTGACCATAAGAATTTGGAGTACTTCAGGAAGACGCAGCACCTCAACCGGAGACAGGCCCGGTGGTCTCTGTACCTCTCCCGGTTCGACTTCACGCTGCACCACAAGCCTGGCCGCGATATGGGTCGGCCTGACGCCCTCTCCCGGAGACCCGACCACGGAGTCGATTCCGACAACTCCGACGTCGTCCTTCTGCGGCCTGAACTCTTCCACGTCCGCGCACTCGAGGGCGTTTCCGTTTCCGGTCCCGGCTCTGAACTCCTCCGCGACATCCGTGATGCCCTCTCCGGTGAGCCTGACCTGGAGGAGCCCGTCGCACTAGCGGCCCGGCAACTTCTTAAGGTTCAAGGTCAAGCTCGAGGCCCCCGCTCCTCACGTTCTGACGAATGGGTCGTCTCCGGCGGTCTTCTCCATTTCCGAGGAAAGATCGTCGTACCAAAGGACAAGGACCTCCGGAGACGCATCATCGAGCTCTGCCATGACACCCGAGTCGCCGGACACGCAGGTCGTTTCAAGACCCTGGAGTTGGTCTCCCGGAACTACTGGTGGCCTCAGATGTCTCGCCATATCGGCCGGTATGTTGCGACCTGTGACTTGTGCTGTCGCACCAAGGCACTCCGGAGACTGCCCCACGGAGAACTGCACCCCACGGAAACGCCCCGAACGCTGGCATACCGTCTCCGTCGACTTCATCGTAGAGAGCTTCCCGAAGCCCATGGGTACGACGACGCAATCATGGTCGTCGTTGACACCCTCGGAAAGCGCCCCACTTCTCAGAGTGTCATACGACGGTCGATGCAGCAGGGGCAGCCCGCCTCTACTACCGGAATGTCTGGCGGCACCATGGGACTCCGGAGAAGTACGTCTCCGACCGCGGCTCGCAGTTCATCGCAGACTTCACCCGAGAACTTTGGCGTCTAATCGGCATCAAGCCCGCCACGTCCACCGCGTACCACCCGCAGACAGACGGTCAGACAGAGCGCGTCAACCAGGAGCTGGAGCAGTACTTGCGGATCTTCACCAACTACCAGCAGGACGACTGGGATGAGCTGATTCCGGCCGCGGAGTTCGCCTACAACAACCACGTTCACTCCTCCACGCAGCAGGTCCCCTTCATGACGGACACGGGACGGCTCCCTGCGCATGGGCTTCAACCCGGAGTCCGTTCCGCCATGGAGTCAGTGAACGAGTTCCGCGACCGGATCGCCACTGGTGTTGCTGAAGCCAAGGCCGCTCACTAAGGCCAAAGAGGAGTACAAGCGCTACTACAACCGGAGACGGACTCCGTCTCCGGAGTTTAAGGTTGGCGACCGTGTTTGGCTGGATGCCTCTGACATCAGGACGACTCGCCCCTCGGAAAAGTTCTCCCATCGCCGCCTTGGACCGTTCAAGATAGTCGCGGAGATCAGCAAAGGTGCCTACAAGCTCGACCTCCCTCCGCGCTACTCGAAGCTCCACCCGGTCTTCCCCGTCGTCAAGCTCGAGCTCGCTCAGGACGACCCCTTCGACGGACGCCCCGGCTACGACCAGCCCCCTCCGGACCTCGAGGACGGAGTCCCGGAGTGGGAAGTAGAGGAAATCCTGGACGCAAGGGTGAGGTATAAGCGGCTGAACTACTTCGTCAGATGGAAAGGCTACGACGCATCGCACGACCAATGGGTCCGCTTCGACCGCGTCTTCGCCCCGGAGAAAATTGCGGAGTTCTATCGTAAGTACCCTGGCAAGCCACGACACATCGCCTCCGCGACCTTCGACTCGATTCCGTTCCGGTCTATGCGTCGGGACGCCGCATTCAAAGGGGGGGGTGATGTCAGGGGAACCTCCCTTTCGGCCCCTCGGAGACGCCTCCGATTCCGGTCCGACTCCGGTTCCGACTCCGGTACGGCCCTCCATCTCGCCCGCACAATCACCGATCCGTCAACGCCCTCCCGACGGTCGCCCTGGGACCTCGCCTGCGACGCCGCCCAAGCCTTCTGTGCCCGACAGCGGCAGCTACGGACAAGCAGTATATAGTCAGCTACCTAGCAGGTGGACCCTTAGAGTTTCTTCTCTTTGGATCCTCCCCTGCTAGGTCAGCTTCATTTGTATTCGCTTACCAATGTTCACGCTTTGGATCCTCCCCTGCTAGGACCTTGATCTCAGGCCTCCGGGGTTGCCCTTACATGAATGGTTTGAATGGGTAGTATAGAAGCTGAGCTACATTGCATCTCATACCACCCTTTTACAATCGGTAGCGCTTCGGTCATCCCATTGCCTGAGTGAAATTATTTCAGCGGATGTTTCCAAACAAGAAACACCCACCAATCATTAGGGGAGTTCACGGTAGGCTGGGCAAGCCTTTGGGCAAACGACGAGGAAATTAAAAAGAAATGTTTTCGAAGTTTTGCACACCGAAACTCGGTGGGCAGGTTTTATTCGAGCGTTGGGCAAGAATTTATTAGCTAAGCGACGTGATCCGTGGTAACGAGCGTGACGCGAAATTTTCACGTCGCCCGCATGTCTGCCCCGACGGCTGTCAACGCAGCAGAGGTCGCGCGACTCACGGCCGAGCTGCGTGCTGCGCAGGGCCTGCCACCCGAGCCCGCGCCTGAGCCCCCAAAGCGCCGCCCTGGCCGCCCAAAAGGATCGAAAAGCAAGCCGCCCAACGCGAAGACGACGGCACAAAAGGCCCCGGCCACGAAAACCGCAGCCAAGCCCGCGGCCAACAGCAGAAAGGCGAAGAAGCCCGCCGAGCCTGTTCCGGACGAAGAAGCAGAGGAAGCCGAGGCGCTGCCAGATGGGGTGGCTGACATCCCGTGCGTGCTCATGTCTTCTCTGTGCCCACATTCCGCTGATCTCGAGTCTCGACCCAGCTGGAAGTCGGAGCACGCTCTCTCGGAGACCCTCCTCACCCACATCGAGAGCAACGAGCCCCGCCGCCTTGCCCTTGGCTTCACAAAAGGCAACGGGTCCAATGCCGGTCACTCGACCGCCGCGAGACCGGCAGACCACCACAAACGGCTCGTCGTGAAGACCCTCAACCCCGACCCGCGCTGGGCTGACATTCCGCCGGAGAAGCTCGTCCCCCAGGTCCGCGGACGGCTCAAAGCGTGCGTGGCCGTCGTCTCGCTCCTGTTCTTTGCTGACGAAACTTTCAGTATGCGCACCATTACGATGCGCGAGTTCAGCAAGTTTACGCAAACGGGCGCGGGTCTGGTAGAGCAGGGAAAGGCAAGCGAGCTGGAGGGCGATGCTGCGAATATGCTCGGTGCGTCGCCAACAACTTTCTCTCCTTGACCAGTAGGCTGACTCCGAGAAGAGGAGGTCCTCACCAAGTACCCGTGGTTCCTGCGCATGACACAGCTCATTCGCGGGAGCCCCGTCACCGACCAGCGCCATTGCTCGAACAGCACGACGTCGCTCGATGACGGGCTCGACCTGATGCTCGGACGTGGTGCTGCTTCAGATGTGCGTGCAGCATTTCCTTCTCATTCTTCTTTTACGCTGACATGACACTTCCAGATGGACGATATGGCTACGCCGCCGTGGCCACAGCACCCCGCGTTGCACCGGCAGCGGCACGTCGCCCCGCTGCTGGTGCAACTCGTCCCAAAATCACGCTGAAAGCGCCAGCTGCTCCGCCACCGACTGTGGCCAAGCGCAAGGGACCCATGGACACGCTGGCCGGGCTGCTCCAAGGTGAACGAGATGCGAAACGTCAAGCTCTCGACTTGAAGCACGAGCACGAGCGGCTTTTGGCGCGAGAGAAGCACGAGTCGGAGATGAAGATGCTGCAGTTCCAAGCGGACGAGAGGGAGCGGGTGCATCAACGCGAGCTCGAGATGATCAAGGCGCGAACGGAGGCACAGTACGGACCAGCTTTTGACTTCTCGGGAGCATACAACGCCTGATTCTGTGTACCTACGCTACATCGTTCTCGTCGTTACTGTTCTCTGTACGCAAAAAGTCGAATAGCATCTCCTTGATCTCGCATCGCCGTTCCTCTGCTGCTGCAAGCTCGATATCGCGAGCATCAGCATCAATGGCACCTGCCTCAGCTACCTCCGCCTGAACATGCTGCAGACCCTCGAGGAAAAACGCGTCAGTGTCCATGTCGATGTTGCGTTCGTGGACCATCGCGAAGTTGTGCACGACCATGCAGGCAATAATCCAGTATGTCGCGAAACCAATATGCTCTTGGTCATCGATTCGTAGCCGAAGGCCATGCAAGGAGCAGAATCGACCCTTGAGGTACCCAACTGCATGCTCCGAGCGGACACGGACGTTGGTGACGTAGTAGTTGAAGATCTCGTTCCAGTCCTGGAACTTCATCGGTCTGGGGTAGCTCAGCCTTGAGCGTAGAAAATAGCAATGGAAGCTTACGCTTTGTATGGAGCCATAAGCCAGAGCTGCAGTGGATAGGCAGAGTCGGCCCAGATCCATTCTCCGTTGGGAAGCAAGACTACAAACTCGCTTGGAATTCGAAGTTTTCTTCCACGCAGTTGCATCGTGTTGGCTGCCTGGAAGACCGATTCCGTAGTCGATAATCCGCAGGTCTGGGGTCGTGATCAGCTACGAACTAAGTGAGTAAAAATGGAGAGGATTGAGCTGCAGCAACACGAACCTGCACATTGAGGGAGTAGTTGGACTTGCGGTCGAACCAATTGTTTCCGAAATGTGCCGGACGAGCATATAGCGGAATGAGAGTGCCGTCGACCATCAGCCAACCATCCCGCCATGCAGGGCACGAATGCTCTTCGACCCATTCCTTTGCCTGCTCCTTTTCCTCCTCGGTTGGCCAGCGGATTGCAGATTTCCGGACACGGTCACGGCACAAGGCAGCAATGACCCGCCGAGTGGACTTCACAACGGTCCCAAATCCCAGCCCAAGCTGCAGGCCGACTTTTCGTACGCTGACACCATTTCCGTAGTGCCCAAATCGGTAGAGGGCAACAGCGAGCTGTGAATCGACCGCAAGTTGTTCGGCGGTGTCGGAGTTGTTGTGGAAAACGGGGTCATCTTGGATCGCATCCAGCAGGGCGTCGAATGTTGCCGGCGTGACACGAAGATAGGATCGGAAGAAGTCGGGGAAGCCGGTTTTCCAGTCCTCGAGCAGCACCGAGAGAATGTTGCCCTTGGGAATGACACGACGCTCATTGAGATAGCGTTGAGCATGCAGAGAGATGAGACCCAGCATCAGCATGTCGGAGATGGGCATGTTCTCGTCGTCCTCGGCCGCGGGCGTCATCTGCCGGCGCGTTGGGAGCACCTGCAGCTTCTTCCTCATCCTTGAGCTCCTGGAAGGCCTCCAGGACCTTCATGATCCCGATCATCTCCAAGATCTCGTCCGTGTCGCACTGCCGCTCGGTCTTTTGCGGCATCGGAGCAGCAGTGGAGGTGGGAAGAGGCAAGAGAGATGGATTATCGATAAGATAGATGCGCCTCCGGGCACGGATCACGCTTGCGTAATATATTTTAATTTACTCTGCCTTGCCCTACCGTGAACACCCGGGGCAAGATTCTGGGCAAGCAATAAAATTATTCACTTGCCCAGAGTCTTGCCCGAAGGTTTGCCCAGAGTTTTGCCCACCTACCGTGAACTCCCCTATTATTAGGGAATTGAGGTTGATTGGCACGATTCCTGCTTGAACGAAATACTGGTTCTGATCGTAGATAGCGGCAGCGAAGGCGGGTAAAAGACGGCGCTGTCGAACGTTGAAATGAAGTCAAATTTAGAGAGAGATACAGACGGCATATGATTCCCCAGCAAGGTGAAGTCCTCTGCCTTCAGGATGTGTACTCAGTTTTACTAATAAAACTGTGGCTACTGGTGAAGGGCTGTACTCATAAAACCTAGGGGAGCTCATGCCAGCCATGGCCGGAGTATGGTGACAAAAAATGTGACATTCAATCAATTGTGAATATCTCAATGAGTTTGACAGCTATGACTAAGCTATTACCAGATATGGAAAGGCAAATCACTATTCTTTCAGGCCGAAGACCCGGATAAACATCTAGGTAGGCCTGTGATCTAGGGCAAAGGTATACATCCTAATTAGGCTAAAATTGATGTATCCTGACATAGCCATCAATGGTACTGATGTCCATCAAAAATTGTTCCACATTGATCACTTTATCTTGATGCTATCAATCCCATCATCAATGCCATGATCTAACACCCAAAAATAAATAAAATGGTTTTTTAAAAAGTGTGACATTTGTGACCCTTGAGCCCTTCCCCAGGTTTTATGAGTACAGCCCTTCACCAGTAGCCACAGTTTTATTAGTATTCCTGAGTGAATGAGCTGCTGCCTTGAAATTTGCTGAAATGGGCGAAGAAGATAGCAATGAAAACAGCCACATCCTTCGCTGCCTCTTCTGTGGTGCTCTGTCATGCGCGTCAATTCGGCAACCACGCAACGCACCACAGACTCGCCGAAATTTGCGTAAGAAAGATGAGAACCGATCGGCTGGTCCACAAAGAACTTGAAGATGTTGGCCTTGCTTCTATAAGCGTCGCAAATCGTAGACGAGCACGATATTACATTCGAGTTCCACGATTCATCGGGGTGGTAGACAGTGCCATTTTCCGCATTACCCGGCAGGGACCGAGCTCTATGAACTTGAAGTATCTTATGTTCATAGTTGGAAAGCTATTTTAATCAGAGGATTTGGTGAATGTAGAATTGAGGAGAGCAAACAGTGTAACATCTACTTATATGCGGTAAGCAGTAGATGCTTTGGAAGAGACTGAACGAACCAGATTCAAGTAGATCTATAATATGAAAACAGCTGGAAATCGCGTAATGACAGAAAATCACGTTTTGGTCATGCGTTTTGATTGATGGCACGTGAAATTCATGTGACCACCCCTCGGATACCGCCCGCCGGTGGTGAGCCGCAGGCGAGCGGCCGTGTGGGCGCTGCAAAATAATTATTTTTTGTCCATGCCAGAGGCACGGACGTTATACTTGTTCAAGTTGAAATTCAAAGTGATTTGATGGGATGTGTGGCGTCGTGTGACGACCCACGAACCGCTTAGCACTGACCTCGAGGTTGACCAAAGTGCGCTTGGTTTAGGCTTTGTTCTTTATCCCACTTATAGTAGCTGACTGCGTCGTTGAGCAGGTACAATAGAGGCTGAGGTTTGGGATATGTGAAGTTTCTCGTTAGGTGGAGACCTTGGGGTGACTGCGGGTGAGCGACTCTTGTAATAACGATTCATCACTCTCAAGTGCTTGAAGCGCTGCTAGTATCGGCAATTCTCGCAATCTCGAAGCTCCCACAATCACACCAATGCTCTTTCTTGACCTCCAAGAGGATGTGATGCTCCTTACCTGCTCGTTTCTTTCTGTGGACGATATACTGCTTCTCAGACAAGTGCGTAGCCTCTATGTTGACACCCAGACATCTTCTTATGAAGCCAGGTCTGCACCACCATGAATCATTTGACACGGTTGAAGGCGGTCTGGCTCACCCAACTAACATGGCTCTTACGCCAGGGCACTCGAATTCCGGTGTATATCGGGGACCACCTGGTCTTGAAGTCGCCCGACTTGGAATCCCTCGTACGGCGCCTCTCATACGCCTCGCGAAAATGGGCGCCAGCAGAGACTCCCTCGCCGTTTCGGATATGGCCTATCAACCTTCCCCAATCGATAACCTGGCTTCATGTTACTCAGGGAAGATGGCTCTTCGTTGCTTCCTCTGACGAAAATGTTAGCAAGTTGGGCTGCTGGGACATTTTTCGTATATTCGAAGGAAACGTGGAACCTATTGCCCAGGGTTACTTACCAGACGTGGTCAAGACCGGAAAAACCGAAGTTCAAGGTCGTGATATTGTTCTCGGTTTAGGTTTAGGCTCGCAGTAAGTCATTTCGTTCAGGAATCCTGTCTTTTTTCAGTTGATTTGGACACCATAGATCCAATTCCACGCATATTATCGCCTTGCGCAAACTTCACCAAGACTACTCCCTTGTTGAAATTGCTCGTATACCAAATTCGACGCATGTTCTCTTGCTATCGGGTACCTTCATCGGTTGCGCAATTCACCGAGGGAGTAATGTCCCGCACCTAATCGACTGGAAAAAATCACTGATCGTAGAAATTCCGCCTCCACCCGGTGGCCTCGAGGTCCATGGTCGTAGAGTGCGCATTTCCCATATTTCACCATCATAGACATTGATAAAGGGACAGAGCGTACCCAATGTCATGACACTATGGAACAACAACAAACTCGTCATCATCCGCAGCGTGGCTTTAGAAGTCTACGATGTTTCGCTTACCGCGCAAGCTTCAGTCGTGTATTGCGGCAGTATCACACTACCTAGGATTTGGGAAGTTCAAGTGCTTCCTGTTTACCTTGCCGGTTCACCTTTGCGCCTCGTTATTCTCTCGCAGGTCGGCCTCGAGTTAATCGCCTTGGACCCAGTCCTACTTCACGACCTCCACGACGATAGAGATGAAGTCTACCCGAGCACTTGCATCGCACAATATCCGTCTGATTACCAATTTCCATGCCCCTGGTACCAACTTGGTGTCTCCCCAGACGGAACACGAGCAACATGGCTTGACACTGCCAGGCCTGAAGAGAAATACAGCCATCCCCGATTTCTTTCCGTTCCGCTGCCATCAGCAGGAGAGCAACTCCTTCAAAACATTCCACCCCAATCATGGGATATTGACCTAAATAGCGATCCTGCTATCTGGGCTCGACCCCAGATCGAAGCCGACGAAACTCTGGGTATCACCATTGTCGGTAATTGTTTCGGAGAGCTTGGCGTATACGACTTCGGCCGTGGAGTTGGCTTTCCGAGTTGCGTTTTTGATCAAGAGGCTGATGGGGATGTTGAAATGATACCTGGTCATGCACTTGCACAAGTAACCAATTCGTTTCCCTAGATAATAGCGAACTAACATAGTCCCACTAGACTCTCATCAAACTGGCCCCCCGACGAGGGCCTCGGGAGCCAATGTCAGAAGATGAATTTCGCGAGGCAACTGCTCACTGGTCGCAAGACAGAATTATCGACTGGCTTTGGATCAATGACTGGTACGAAGACCGGGACTGGGCCCAGGTATACCGCTGGATCGGACACTCAGGCGACTTCGCGTGGTCTATAGAACACGAATATGGCTTCCCTGGGGAAGCTTTGCCGCAAGCCTACACCCCGCGCGAACACTCGGCGGATACCCCATGTACTCTCTTCCGAATCGGGAATCGCTACCTCGTTGAGGACGAGGACGGATTTATTCGTTCTTGGCCGAACAACGTTGATCATGGCTTTGTCGTGCACGCTGCTGACATCGAAGAGCCGATCCGACCGACGACGGAAACGGAGGATTCTGTATTTTGGAAATCATTCCGATTGGATTGGCAGAGCCACAAGCCTAGACGTAATCGATGGGCTGAGCAGCAAGAAAGAGGCGGCTTTACCGACTGGAGTTTGTCTTGGGAAGAGGAAGAACTGGCTCTCGCAAAAGACGACCCGCTGAGCTCGATGCATGATTTTGGCATGCGCGTTGAGCATGGAGGATGATGCATCGATGATGGTTCAGGACATTCATGTAATGATTCTGAAGTTTTTTTTTGTTTGCCAGCTGCAATAGTCTACGATACTGTACACACGCAGCTACCTCTTTGTTATCCAACGATGCGCATGCTCTGTCACTCCTTGTACTTACACCCACCCCTCAAACTACTGTAGAGCAACACCACAAAGACGTACGCAGTTTTAGAATTCGTGGCTCTTGACCAACTTACTTGGCCTTGATCCTGCGTGCCGTTGTCGTTGTCGACAGTTGTTGACGTTGCCTTTTGTCGACATTGTCTTTTGGACGCACAGGGCTTCCTTCTCATGTAAGTAAGTGTAAGTAGCATTGGCAAAGTCGGCGAATACTTGCGCTAACGACGAACAACAGCATTGGCATATTCAATGTCCGTCTGGACTTGAAAATCTGAGGGTTGGACATTGTTCTCCGGAGGCAAGTAGTGTTTATTGGGAGTTTGTTGGCTGGGACAATAACAAATCTCGCAGTGTCACCAGCTAACGGTGCCTCCCTCAGACTACTTTCACCCCATTGACATTCCTACATATGCCGTTCCTCGAACTCGGTGAGGATGTGCTTCTCCAGCTATTCGCGTTGGTTCCTGTTGGGGATATTCTGTCTATCCGGCAGGTACGTGGTGCTGCTACATTGAGAGCATACTACTGACCATTTAACCAGGTTTGCACCACACTGAATCGGTTGACGCGCCTGAGATCAGTTTGGCTGAATCAACTAGGGTGGCTATTCCTCCAGGGGGTTCGGATTCCACCTTACATTGGAGATTATCTCGCTTTAGATGTGGCAGACTTGGAGTCTCTCGTGCGACGGCTGTCGTATGCCTCAGAAAAATGGGCTCTTACCGGGACTCCATCGCCGTCTCGAATATGGCCCATTTACCTTCCTCAGTCGATTACCTGGCTTCATCTCACTCAAGGAAGGTGGCTATTTGTCGCCTCTTCGGACGATAAAGTCAGCAAGCTGAGCTGCTGGGATATTTTCCGCATATTTAGCGGGAATACGGAACCCATAGCTGAGGGCTACTTACCCGACAAGGTCAAGACGGGCAAGGTTGAGGTTCAAGACTGCGATATAATTCTCGCTCTTGGACTGGGTCCGCGGTAAGCTTTTCCCAGTCAATGCATCTATTTATCGATGCTGATTTGAACGCCATAGAATCAACTCCACATGTATTGTTACGCTACGCAAGGCCCATGAAGACTATTCCCTTGTCGAAATTGCTTGTCTACCGCATTCAACTCACGTTCTCATGCTATCGGGTTCCTTCGTTGGCTGCGCCATTCGCCAACAGAGTAATATTCCGCATCTGATCAAGTGGAGGGAGGGACGAGTTGTGGAAATTCCACCACCGCCAGGTGGTTTCGAAGCTCCCGGTCGCCGAGTGAGCCTTACGATCCACTGTCCATGACGAGCAACTCAGAATATGCAGAGCGTACCCCATCTAATGGCATTTTGGGGCGACAAACTCGTCGTTATTCGCAGCACAACCTTAGAAACATACGATTTCTCATCCGCATCAGGAAAACTAAATCTGTCTGGCACACCTGGTACCAGGTCTTCCAGGTCTTCCAGATCCCCCAGAGCACCTCTGGCACCAGAGAACATGCCTAAATCCAGAGACTGCCAGACAAAATCTCTGGTACCAGACACCCCAGAGCAACTACCAGACAGTTCCAGTCAGACCTCCAGATTCAATTCCAGTCACAAAACACTCATAAAAACAAGCAGAATCATGTCATTTCTCAGAGCAATGATACATACATATGTAGATACACACTGACCAAATTCCACCAGGCCTACCTTTACCACCAGTCCACCTTGTGATCGCGCTTACACGGACACGCACGCGGACGGCTTGAACGTTAGTCTTTCCCTCTGCATCGGGGTATATCGGGTTGTACCGCATGAACGCGACATAGGCTAGCTTCGTTGGGAGTGCTTTAAGTTGCCATTTGCGCCGGGCACTACCAGCTTGTCAGTAGACTGCTGAAATACAACGAAATACGCATGCTCGAAACCAGCGCCTTTGGCGTTCAGAGCCGCCCGCTTGTCCGGCGCAATGATAGTCTTGGGGTCCAGCAGCTCTGTGGGCCAGGCGGCAATCAACCATGAATGGAGGTAGTTTGACCAAGACTTACGACGACATAGTCCTTGATGCCCGAACCGCCCGCCGCGTGCCATAATCGCAGACGGCCCAGGGACGGGAACACCTGCAGCGATGCAGCGATTTGTTCCTGGCGCTGCGGGATGGTTTAGTTACCAGAGTTGCCTAGTATTAGCTCGCCCTTCCGTCTTTCCAACGATACCACACACCTGCGCATATATCTTGCTCCCCTTCGCGTGGGCGGCCAGATGCCGGGCGCCTCGGGCCACTCAGTGCTGGGCCCTGCATTAGCGAATGAGCAATATGAAGGAGGCAGCAACGGACCCTTGCTGAGTGGTGAGCATCGGAAACGATCAGTCCCGCCCTGCCGCACGCGCGCTGCACTCCCGCATAACGTCGTTTGGTACCGTCCCGCTGGCCCTGCAGGCTGCTCCGCGTCAGCGCGCTGAGGCACGCTTATCCCGATATGGTTCCAGCATCAGTGCTTAACACGGTGCAAATGGTTCCGACACACCTATTGACGAGCCGGGAGTCGGCCTCAGCGGTTGTGACGAGCTTCTTGCAGCTTCACTCTTGAGTGCCGAGGGCTTGACGACCATTTGCGGCCTTGACAACTTGGAGCTAGACAAAGAGCTGTCCGAGCGCAGGAAGGCCAGGAAGGCGCATCGGGATTTGTGAGGCAATGGTGGGGGAAGGGAAGCAACCAGTGTGAAGGCTGTGCGTCGGCTGCCAGTGTGCGCATGGTCGGATCTACATTTGATCAATCGATCCTTGATGCACGTGCTGATATCGGGACTTGGATGAAATTCACAACTCAGGCAAGTCGTTCGCATGTATTAGATGAGCAAAACTCGTCAGTTCATTCCCAAGTCATTGTAGTGCTGTTCCTTCTCATAACTTATAGGGCTATTATCCCGCTTCTTATATCATGATGATTTTATTTCTGACTAGATATTTGTCACCTGTCTGGAGGCCGTCTGGTGAACCTGGGGCCAGACAATTGTCTGGGACACCTGGTACCAGCTTCTCCAGGACTTCCAGATGCCCCAGGCACTCCAGACAAATTTGGTTTTCCTGATGCGATCTTGTAGTTTATCGCGGTCTCGTCAAACTTCCGACGATTTGGGAAGTACAAGTGCTTCCACTCGATTCGCCGGATTCCCCGTTGCGCCTTGTTGTTCTGTCTGACGCTGGCTTGGAAGTCGTCACATTACATTCTTCCCTTATACACGAGCTCTACGACAGAGATGACATCTGCCCCAGCATATGTCTAGTGCAATACCCCCCAATCGACCTCTTCCTATGTCCTTGGTACAAGCTCTGTCTCTCTCCAGACGGGATGCGAGCAACCTGGCTCGAAGCTGCCAAACCTGGGGAGAAGGACTACAGCCATCCCCGCTTCCTTTCGGTCCTACTGCCGTCGGAAACGGAGGTATCTCCAAACAATCCTCTCCAAGAATGGGAACTCGTTCCAACCGGCGATCCCGCCATTTGGGCTCTACCACAAATCGCAGTCGACGACACTCTTGGTCTCACCGTTGTTGGAAACTGTCTTGGAGAGCTTGGCGTCTATGATTTTGGCCGCGGGAATGTCTTCCCGAGCAACATCTTCAAGCAGGTGGCCGATCCAGACGTCCCGCTCCTTGGACAAATTCTGTCAAAGGTAAACTACTTTCCCTCAGGCTTGTATACCTTCTGAGTCGATATTTCAGGCCCCACTCGAATTAACTCCCATTAAAGGGCCCGAAGCCACGATGTCAGGGGAAGAATTCCGCAATGCGATTAGCCATTGGTCTCAAGACAGAATCGTTGATTGGCATTGGACCAACGAGTGGTACGAGGACCGCAACTGGGTAAATCCGCATCAGTGGTGTGGACACCCAGGCGACCTTGCCTGGATGATGGAGCACAGCTACGGCTTTCCGGGCGAAGTACTTCCGCAGGCTTACACACCACGCGATGAGGCATATACGCCGTGCACTCTGTTCCGGATAGGCGACCGCTACTTGGCTGAAGACAGCGACGGATTCATTGTCTCTTGGTCGAACGCTGTTGACCATGGTTTCCATGTGCCTGCCGCCCAAGTCGAGCTGCCTCTGTGCCCGACCGCGAGGACCGATGATGAGGTGTTTACCAAATCGTTTGTGGTGGAGCGGGAGGACCGTAAGCGCAACCGATGGATTGAACAGCAGGAGAGAGGGGGTTGCTCGAGCTGGGGGTTCTATTAAGCCTTATACTCTGTTGTATCTTCTCTATCCAACATGTGATCGCGTTACGGCGATCAAATTCGCTCCTTGCGATTTCTGAGTTCTCTTCTCAACAGCCACGGCCAAACCCACTCTTGACCCGCCTGGCTCTTTGAATTCATGACATATGGGGTAGCCTCAAACACCATGAAAATCAACAAACTAGTTTGTGATGCTTGGCTGTACAAGTTCGGTTGACGACCGCCGTGATGCCGCGCGTATATAGGGAGAGATACTCCCGCTTTTCACCTCCGTCGGCTTTGACAGTCGCCGCCACCATGGATGTCCGCTCTCGAGGAACGCTTTTGACTTCTGCTGGCTTGTTGTATGCTTCAATTGGATTCACGCTGGTGCGTCTTGCTGCACAGTTTTTCTTTCCTCGGTTGATGATGCCGATAGAGCGTTTTGTCAACCTTCCTTCGTTTGTTATGGCCCTTCCATGGCACCCGCGACGACCCAACAAAGGCCTTGTCTATGAGACGTCGCTCTACGATTCATAGGAAGCACAAGCGGAGGAGTAGCATCCCACCGACATTAACGAATCCCAGTAACTCAAGCTCGGAAGAGTCTCCGTCGCCCGAAAACCCGAGGCGGCATCCAACGTTCCTTAAACCCACGACACGCAGAGCCAGGTCACGCAGTTTAGAGCGCACGGTACACAATCGCAATAATTCGGTCCGGCTTGGTCGGTCTGAACTGCGGGTACCGCCAGAAACCCGAAATGGCCATCGTCGTTCTGAATCGACTCCACCAACTCCATTCCCCAGACAGTGGTCGTTTCCAGAGCAGCAGACGTCGTTGGCTCCTCCAGAACTGCAGCCTCCAAGCATTCACCATGAGCGTGGCCCATCCGTGGACTCTACGCATAGCCATTTGTCGTTCTTGCAGCTTCCCAAGAAATTGAAGCGCTCGACCAGCAGTGCGTCCTCCACTTGGCTGCTTAACCTGTCTTTACTCACCCGCTTATAGTCATCTCCACTGAAACGTGCGGAGAGAAGCGGCGCTCGCAGCTCCTCGGGCCTTTATTGCACAAACGGAAAGCTTCAGATGCGCGCCGATGGTCTGGCATCTCTTTCACATCGGTTGATGATGAAGGCGATACCAGCGCCAGCTCTCCTGACGCTGTAGCGGACTCGCCAAGACATTCTATCGACACCCGGCAGTCAATCGACCATTTGCCAGTCCCCAAACGCTCACAGACACTTCGTACTCGGCCATATGAGGCACCTTACTTCTTCCCTGTTCCCGGCTCTACTGAAGCTGAAGAGTATGTGCCTCCACTACGCCCACGCCCGAGCCGGAGTGGAACACTGCCTGTTGACCGACCCTTGTCGGGCGTGTTCTGAGCGGAATTTATTAGTACACAACCTGCACCTTCGTTCTATAACTTATCTACCTAAACCTTATATATTTGGCAACTTGTCAGATCATCACAATCATCCCTTTGCTTCCGCTTTTATGGCCGCGAGCTCCGCACTCCGCAACCATAGGAAACACCTCGGGTTGTCTTGGACAACAGGAATTCTCTTTCATCTCAGGCCCACCATGCACTTCTTTGAATTGGACTGCTGTGATTGAAAGACGTTGACGTCGACGATGGGAAACATCTCGGATGGCCATAACCCTTCATTATAGCCAGCGCCGAGCTCAGGCTTTATCTAGAGCTGACCAATCCTTGGACGTGCTACGACTCTTTTCGCTTCTCCCCACCACTTTCTTTTCCTCTTTTTTCGCAGCGCGACTGGGCTTCCTATTCACCATGTCAGGCGTGGTATACAGTATACCCGCGACTGCTTTTTCGACTTTCTGGAATGGGGCAGCAGCAGAAATTGTTTGCACTTTTGTGAGAACTTGAAGTGTTCCTCCCGCTAGCGCTGCTCTATCTTACGTGTTTATCACAGACCGAGATCCTCTTCTATGGCATCTTCGTCGTGCTCTTCGCCTTTGCAATAAACCTGCTCATTGGGCGGCACGCTACTGGGCAAGAGCGGTCGTCCATCCTCATCGGCGCCACCTTGGTCATGCTGGTGATGGCCAGTGTGCAAATGTTCTTCCGCTTGGGCGGCGCTTACACAGCAACGGAGCTCCTTTACGTTCGCGTCGCTCAAGGGCAGGGCCGCGCAGTAAACAACGTCCATGATCAAAACGTCCTGTGGAACTTTTTGGAGGATGTTTCGCTGGTGACCAACAAGTAAGATTTCTCGTCTCCAGAAAATTGTTATTCACCCACCCAAGTCTCGTTACAGATGGGGTTTTGGTGGGTCTTTTTTTTCCTGTTTGGCCATCTATTCAGTAAACAGATCTACCGTTGTTTCCTAATCGTGCGTCTCCTGACTTAATCCACGGTAAAAATCACATCTAAACTCAGTGGGGACGCAACTACTATGTTATTGCTGCTCCGAGCATCATGTTGCTCCTGACAACGAGTGCGCTGCGCCTTTTCTCGTTCGACATGCTTATCTTGTTGTAGTCCTGAGCTACCTTTCGGCGGTGCAAGGCGACTATCCGCAACCCGGTGGCCCCACTGTTGACTTGAGGATCGGGTTTCTGCTTGGTGTCCTCACCAACCTGGTGCTGGTTGGCTTGACAGGTGTGTTCAATCTCTATTACTACGTGCAGCGGTAAACTCCAATCAGCCGGGCGAATCTTGTTCACCCGACACCGCGCACGACAGTTGGGAATCCAAGCTGATGTCGTCCGAAAATATAACAATGCGACCGCGATGATGTTCGTCTCGTCTCCTTGAATGCAGGCTCATTAATACGTCGCAGCTTGGAGTCTGGTGCTATCATATCGGTGTGGACCGTCATCTACGTCATTCTCCGCTCAATGAATGTGCCGGACGTGAGGTTAACGTGGTCCTCTTTTGGTTGCGACTGATATTTGGCGACAGACGGTTTGGCGTGCTTTCCGTGGTGGCCTGCCCCAGCTGCTGGTACCTACTTTATTTCCTTGGAAAGTAACTAATCAATGCAGAACATTGTGCCAACGCTCATCATTGTTCGCGTGGGCCTGGGGCACGCGATTGACGCAAGGACAACAACATCAGGGACAATGGTCTCAACGTGGAAGACCAAAGGCTCTACTTCTGCTGCTGTATAACAATTTTTGTATCCCATTCCTATGTACTTGTAGTGTCTTTATTACCTGCAATGCCGAGCACTGCGTTGAAGTCGTCACTTTCTCGGCCTTGCTAAGCTTTCCGACCCTTGGCTAGAGGGCATCACAAGTGTTCGGTTGTGAAGTTGGCCATCTTCCGAACACAACCCTTCCGGGTAGACGCAAAAGACCTGTCCATCTCAGCGACACCGTGTTATCACCGTCCGGCCCGACACTACCGACGTGACGATGACGCTGTCACACCTTGTCGACAATTTCTCTTTGACCAATTTGTTGACCAACTGTGCGGTCGGTTGCTGAAACTACCGCTGCTCGCGGCGAGTGACCCTCGGCCATGTTGAGTTATATAGCGCAGGAGACGATGGGGGCAGGGGTAGACCTCGAATGGACACGGAGAGCTCGACTTCGACCAAACGAACTCTACCACGAAATCAAGCATGTTACCCTTGCCGGCACCGTAAAATGGTCAGTCCCTCAATCCATGCGATGAAAGCCTCTGACGTCGACTGCAGAGATGCGATGGACAGTGCGTGTATTTTTCATTGCATTTGTTGAACATTCATACCCAAACTCTGTTGGTTTGTTTTCCCAGACGGCCCGTTTGCGGCCAATGTCGACGCTCGGCACGGGAAGAGGACTGTGAGTACACGGACAACTACTCGCGTGCGAGGGCAGAGGTCCTTGAGGAAGACATCAGTCGGATTCAGTTCCGTATTCATCAGCTCGAGCATCCACAGGAAGCTAAAACGGACGTCATGTTGCTCGATCCGTATAAGCAGGTCACCCACTTTCGAATGCCCGGCCTGCATCAAGTTTTAGACGCCTCTACTTCGTCAGCCATGTTGCTCCATCCGCCAAGCCGCGTTCCAACACCCGACGCATGGTGGACCGCTGAAGAACTGCCGCCCCATTTGGCCAAGAATCTGTGAGTGAAGTTCGCATATTTCCTCAATATATATCTCATAGCTCCCTTAGACTCGACACATTTATGACTTCAGCTGCGTCGTTTGGCTTCTTTCTGGACCCTGAACAAGTCTACAACGCCTCCATGCTGTCCGTGCCGATAAATCATCATTCTCGTCCTACGCCTGCCCTTACTTCGGCAATATACCTTGCGGCTATCTCCATTTCACCATCTCCATCCCTCAAAATGCACGAAGCCGTTTTCCGTACTCGTGCTCTGTCTTCGGTAAGCAATGCACTCGCCGGGCTTCACCCCAAACGCGTACTGCACGCTCTCCAGGCCGAAGTAATACTGGCCTGGTACTTTTACGGAGTGGGCAAGCTCCTCGAAGGCCTATATCACACCGCGACTGCTGTATCTCTCGGTGTCACGAGTGACATCTACTCTATGAGGAACGGGCATGTACGGCCTGGTGCGATGCTGCTCGCTGACTCAGACGCCGATGGCGAAGAACACGTCAACGCCTGTTGGGAAATCGTCGTTCTGGATCGTGCCTGGTCGGTTGTTATGAACACACTCCCAAATTGGACGAATCCCATCGAGACCCCATGGCCTGGTACCAAGGTGGGTACTTTTCCGTGACTCACAGACGCCGATTAACGGCTCCAGGTCTCTGAGATGACCGACATTGTACAAACCTTCCTCGCTGTAGGCGACCACCAGCCGCCCAAGTCCTCAAAGGAACTACTTGCCAAAGCCGCTGTGCTCTGGGAGGCTGCGAACCATTTAGTGACTCGATCGGAGTGGAAACCTGGTATGTTATTTGGCTCCCGCCTAGCATTAGACTACTTTCTGACGTCCTAATAGGCTCTCCGCATAATGCAGAAGCTGCGCAAGCCTTCTACGACCAGTTCTCTGCTATCGACAAGCGTATCGAGGAAGTTTGCAGCCCAGAAAGTCCCTCCGGTCAATCTGAGCCTTCGCCCACGGATCAACAAATTGACCTTGTCGGGCGGAGTATGGCGCATGCAGCTGAAATACAACTCCATCGTCCCTTTGCCCAAGACAGCTCATTGACGCAAGCACACTCGCAACAACGTTTCCTCGACGCCGCGCGCGCGATCCTGCATTTGGCCCGGACACACCCCGCAATTGTGGGTTCACCGCAAACATTCATCAGTCCCATTCTCGCGGTACGCCACCTTGACATTGTTGTTTATATAATCTCTAACCTGAGACGGGATATAGCCGATATGGGCCATCGCTTGTCGCGTCATTCTTCACGAACTTCAGCAAAATCCTACCGACCACGAACTGCGCTGGGAATTCGACAGTAGCTTCGCTGCGATGCGAGTTTACATGAGCAACTCGCTCTTCATGCGTGAGTAGTCCTTCTCGGCGCGCTGTACTTAGTGACGCATGTCCAACGCAGAATACCATCTCCAGAAGATCCAGGACGAGTACGATGTGGCCAGTTCGGCGTGATGAGGTGCCAGGTTTCTTCTGCTTACTGTACTTACAATCAAATAATCTCATGAGCTATATAACAAGGGCCTCTGGCACCTGTGCCTGAGTCTGAGACCTTGCTTTAGTACTAAATAAAGTACATCTTTTTGCCACTAATCTAATAGGGTAATGGCAGGTATATATATATATTGTGAATGAAACTTGAACTCTAGATCTATTCCAAGAGGAATGCCCTTAGAGGAGATTGTCTGAACAGCCCACCCATATTGGAGCTCACTCAGCTCAGATTTACTGAAATTTATCTGGATTTTTTGGACATCAGGCTTAACTGGTGTTGGATAGGCATTTGAGCTATATATCTACTAACAGAGCATTGAGCACCCCACTATTTTATGCAATTTATTTGGCCTATTACCCATAAAACTTCTAGACCATGTCTTAATAGGCATAATATTTAAGTATCCTTCCTTATATAAAAGCTTTTGCAGATAGAAAACCATCAGTTGTATATCACTTAGAGCTCGTTCAGTAATGAGAAACCAATTTCTCAACAGAAACCAGCTTTTCAGCACTGACGGAGTGACTGTCATCAACTAGAAACCATTATCTAATCAAAATCCCATCTGTTTTGGACATAATCGGAATGTATCAGACAAAATGGTATACTGTAGCATTTTAATCAATTCAGCGCCCAAAATGTGTGTGACATTGGTGCCGAATTGAAATTTTCGGTGTCCAAGGCCTCTGAGTGTGACTGCCAAAAATAGTCGATTTGCCGGGTGAATTCAGTGTTTATCTCCATTGTATGTGTAACTGCCAAAAAAATGCCTCTCCGAATATGGGAGCTCAACCACTGGAGAACGCAAGTACTCGGCAGGTTGACCTTGGCAGCAGCAATCACTGGAGCAACGCCAAGGTAATGTCACACTGGCTCTTGGAGACGGACAGTCTCTGGACGTCGCCGGAGACAGGAGCTTGACCACCGGAGGACAAGGGACTCCGGAGGTCGAGCTCAGTGACCCCCGATTTTTTTCCTGCATCGGGGCGACGCAGCTTGAAGGGGGGATGATGTCAGGGGAAACCCTGATGCCGTCACTTGATCCCATCAAGCGCCGCGTCTCCGCGTCTCCACTTGCGTCTCCGTGTCTCCACCCGAGTCTCTGTATTCCTGCACCCTGATGCTCCTCCTCCACTTCTCCCACCACATCCCGCATCCAGTGGTCCCCAACCTCCAACTCCCATGGCCACCCCTTTCTGGGAGTCTCTCCGGGAGTCACCATCAGGGATCACTAATGCCATCGGAGACCTCTCCGGATGTGGCCGCACCACTTTCCTCTGAGACCTCGAGCCTATGGCCTTATAGCCTCTCTGGGCTGTCGCTCATCAAGGTCTCCCTGCAACCTCTACCCATTGGACCTCTTGGGTGTCCCCAACCTATGTCAGCGTTCGGGCTTACGTTCGGATGGCTGAGCCCCGCCATGGCTCCGCCCCCACTCCGCCACCACGGCCCCCGTCATCGGGTCTTCCTTTGGGTGAGGCCTACTGCCGTTAAGGCTCGTGCCTACTGCAGCGCCCCAGGCTGCACGCCCTCACACCTCCACCTCTCTGAGACGTCCGGGGACGTCTCCGAGTGACCCTCCTGTCGCTACCCTCCAGGTGGTCATGGCTAGCCGCCATTCCCATTGGTCCTTTCCGACACTCCCCGGCCCTTGGGCTAGACCGACTCCTTCCCTCTCCGCTCCATGCCCCCCCCCTCTCCGTTTCCGGCCGTCACGTCACGGTCACACACCCGGAATCGATTCCGATTCCGATTCCGATTCCGGTTGTGACGGTCACGGTCACAAGCGGAGACGCCCAGAGGCAGTCTGGACCCCCAAGCCCTTCCTGGGCCTTCTAAGGATGCCTGGGCTCTTCCCTTGGCATCATGGTCCCAAACCTGCCTCTCCGGAGCTTCGAGGGCTACTCGACACTCACCTAGGGTCCATTGGCGACACCTGACTTCTCCCATGCGTTGTTCGTCGCTATGCAGTCACTCTATCATTACTCCGGTCACTAGTATATAGTAGTGCACCTGAGCAGAGGGCTCCTTGGCTTGTTCTCTAAGGATTCCCCCTCTGCTCAGGTGAGTCTGTAGCATCCCTTCCTGTTGTAGTAGTTCACTAAGGATTCCCCCTCTGCTCAGGACTCTGATTTCGAGCCTCGCGAGGTTGCCCTTACAGAGTGCGGGTCAGTTATAGAGCTCTTGAGCTTGAGAACCTCAACAAATGAAGTCGTTATGCACCAAGCCCTGGCTTAGATGGAATGAAATCGGCCTACCGCCGTTGGGAATTTAGTTGACAAGCGCGTTGACGTCTTGCAATAAAGCGAAAGAAGGACAAGCAAACGATCCAGCAGTTGTTGCGCGACATTGTGCTGTGTGTTCGGATGGCTGAGCCCCGCCATGGCTCCGCCCCCCACTCCGCCACCACGGCCCCCGTCATCGGGTCTTCCTTTGGGTGAGGCCTACTGCCGTTAAGGCTCGTGCCTACTGCAGCGCCCCAGGCTGCACGCCCTCACACCTCCACCTCTCTGGAGACGTCCGGGGACGTCTCCGAGTGACCCTCCTGTCGCTACCCTCCAGTGGTCATGGCTAGCCGCCATTCCCATTGGTCCTTTCCGACACTCCCCGGCCCTTGGGCTAGACCGACTCCTTCCCTCTCCGCTCCATGCCCCCTTCGTTCCGGCCGTCACGTCACGGTCACACACCCGGAATCGATTCCGATTCCGATTCCGATTCCGGTTGTGACGGTCACGGTCACAAGCGGAGACGCCCAGAGGCAGTCTGGACCCCCAAGCCCTTCCTGGGCCTTCTAAGGATGCCTGGGCTCTTCCCTTGGCATCATGGTCCCAAACCTGCCTCTCCGGAGCTTCGAGGGCTACTCGACACTCACCTAGGGTCCATTGGCGACACCTGACTTCTCCCATGCGTTGTTCGTCGCTATGCAGTCACTCTATCATTACTCCGGTCACTAGTATATAGTAGTGCACCTGAGCAGAGGGCTCCTTGGCTTGTTCTCTAAGGATTCCCCCTCTGCTCAGGGTGAGTCTGTAGCATCCCTTCCTGTTGTAGTAGTTTTACTAAGGATTCCCCCTCTGCTCAGGACTCTGATTTCGAGCCTTGCGAGGTTGCCCTTACACTGGTTCGAAGCGAAGTTTGGTGCTCAGGTTTGCCGAATCTGGGTTTTAAACCAAACGGACCATCTGGTGTTCAGCCAAAATGGGCCAAGAACTGGACTGAACCAGACTTGGCCATCACTAGTAAGGAAATTAAGGCTGGAAGTTTATGCTATGGCATCTTTAATCTACATTTATTGTTTTTAGGCTGCCTTTCTGTGTAAAGTTCTATAAAGTGTAGACACAAAAACCTCAGCACATTTTGATATTATTTGATGCAACACTGTTGGCCAACTAATTGGACAGTGTTACGACACTGACTGATCCTGCTGAGAAGCTGGTTTCTGTTGAGAAACTAGTTTCTGAGTCCTGATGAGAAACCAGGCTGGTTTCTCGTTAACAAATAAGCTCTTAGTATTTAGCCAATGCTGATACAAAAATAAAGCTGCAACTATAGGTTACTTAATGAAAGTTGTTCATATGGTCAAAATATACAATATTGATTTTGTGACAATCTGTGACATTCTCTGATGATTGGACTGTCATATAGCAAAAACTTCCTTTTTTGGAAATTGGTCACGCTTTGTGACCTCATATCACTGTTTGACGGTGCTGAAAGGGATTTGGGACACACAGATGACAGCCCTGGCATCCCTGCAACTTTAAAAGAATAATTATTCCCAAGTCTTTGTTTGTACATGTTTGTTTTTGTTGTTTACACTTGTTTGGCATGAATTTCACACATACGGGACCTAGCTAAAGCAAGGTAATTTTATGGTCGTTTTGCAAGATTCAGCGAGTGAAAGTTGGGTTTTGCCTCTGACTACATCAATCAAAGCACATGTACAGGGGTTGTGATAAGGCTTACATCCCATTCATTGTCTGACATATCACTGGGCTGATTAAGGAATTTACCCCCTGGGAAAGTTAGAGGATAAATGGAAGGATAAATTTCCAATTTATCTGTAGATTTTTTGTATGATAAAATCACTGTACAAATGGTAGATTTTGACTCACAAAAAATTTAGGAATAAAGCTGGCATTTTTCCAGCATAAAAACCCAGGGTAAAACCTATAGATAAATGCCACATTTATCCATTAATTTAACCTAGCATTTCTACAAAGGAAAAAACTTGAGATAAATCTTGGATAAATCCAGACATTTATTTGTAAGGAAAATGTCAGATTTTCCTGCTGGATAAAGCCACAGAAAAATTTGCCATTCAAAAGACAAAGACAAGTTTATCTGTTGCTTTATCTGTCAGTAAAATCCGCGGTTTTTCCTGCAGATCAATGCTCAGATATATCTCAGATTTATGTCTAGTTTTTTCCTTTGTAGAAATCATAGCTCAAATTAGTGAATAAATGTAGCATTTATCAGACAGTTTTAAGTACTTTCAGTTTTTCTGCTGGAAAAAGGACAGCTTTGTCCACAGATTTTCTTTGTGTCAAAAGCTTCCATTTATATAGTTGTTTTATCACACAAAAAATGGATAGATAAATATAAGATTTACTCTTGCCTTTATCCTATAACTTTCCCAAGGGGGAAATTTCTAAATCAGCCCAGTGTATGGACTACTATGCTAGTGGTTCTTCCGTTGGGTCGTTTGTTGCGACCTCTACCTCCTTCCAACGCAGGTTCCAATTGGTGCAACCACCTCTTTCCTGCTGTTCGACCCATCGGTTCCGCCTGGGCTTGTGGGTCTCCCAATCCATCCGAAATAACTTCCAGAATATACTATTTTCTGTTTGTACCCGAGGAGAAATGGGGTCTTCAATGTCGGAGGCCTCGACGATAAACCCGTGATCGACGTTGTTTGGCCACGAACGAATGAACCCGTCTCCGTCTTCGACAAGATAGCGGTTGCCAACTCGAAGAAGAGTACACGGGGTGTCCCCTGCGTATTCGCGGTGGGGTGTAGGCTTGTAGTAGGACCTCCCCGGGGAAGCCATATTCGTGGTCTATCGACCAACCGAAGCGGCCGGGATCTTCGCCCCAACGAAACACACGCGCCCAGTCACGATCTTCGTACCAGTCATTAACCCAAATCCAATCAACTATTCCATCTTGCGACCAATGAGCAGTTGCATCTCGGAATTCGGCTTGCGTCATTCTCGACCTTGGTCCTCGTCGATGAGACAATTGAATCGGACTCTGTTAGTGTGTCAATTCGGCAGTACACAGAAAAGTCGACCAATTACTTCTGATAGTGAATGACCATTAACCGAGTCATCCACACGGTTGAGGTCATTGCTCGGAAATGCAGTTCCATGAGCAAAGTCATATATTCCAAGCTCTCCAAAGCAGTTTCCAACTACGGTGAGACCCAGAGTTTCGTCAACTTTGATTTGCGGTCGAGCCCAGATGGCAGGGTCGCTCTGTGGGTCAATTTCCCATACTTGCGGTGTGTTGTTTTGATTGACTTGCTCCGGTTCTACAGGTAACAGAACGGACAGAAAGCGAGGATGATGGTAGTCTTCTTCTCCAGGATGGGCAGCTTCAAGCCAGGTTGCTCGTGTTCCATCGGGAGTGACGCAAAGTCGGTACCAAGGGTAATCGAATAACCAGTCTGGTAGGTCTCGTACGATGCAGGTAGTTGGGCAGGTTTCATCGCTTTCGTAGAGCTCATGAATCCGAAGGGGATCTAAGGCGATGAGTTCCAGGCCAACTGGAGAGAGGATAACAAGGCGCAAAGGCGAATCAGCCAAGTCAGGAGGAAGCACTTGAACTTCCCAGATCGTGGGTGGCTTGAGACTCCCACGATAAGCGACTGAAGCCTCAGTCGCAGCAGACGGGAAATCGTAGATTTCGAGAGCCAGGCTGCGAATAATGACGAGCTTGTCATTCCAAAGTGTCATGGCCAGTGGCACGTTCTACCGTTGCCATCAACTTTTGCGCAGAAGATCAAATTGAGGATACGCACTCTACGACCGTGAGCTTCGAGGCCGCCGGGTGGAGGTAAGATTTCGACTATTCGGGATTCTCTCCAGTTGATTAAATGCGGAACATTGCTCTGTTGACGAATGGCGCAACCAACGAATGAGCCCGATAGCATCAGAACGTGTGTTGAATGCGGAATACAAGCGAAGTTCAAGAAGAGAGTACTCTTTGCGTACATTGCGCAGCGTAATGATGCGCGTGGAGTTGGACCTGTACTTGCTCGATCAACTTGAGCAACACAAGTAGTGTATGACTTACTGTGAGCCTAGACCAAGAGCTAGCACAATCTCGCGATCTTGAACTTCAGCTTTTCCCGGTCTTGACCACATCTGGTAAATAGCCCTGGGCAATGGGTTCCGTGTTTCCTTCGAATACGCGAAAAATATCCCAACAGCTGAGTTTGCTGACTCTATCGTCCGAAGAGGCGACGAACAGCCATCTTCCTTGAGCCAGATGAAGCCAGGTGATCGATTGAGGCAGGTTAATAGACCACGTCCGAAACGGCGAGGGATTTTCTGGGGGCGTCCACTTTTGCGAGGCGTATGAGAGCCTCCGCACAAGCAATTCCAAGTCGGGTGAGGTCAAGGTCAGATAATCCTCAATATATGCTGGAATTCGAATGCCCTGGCGTAAAAGCCACGCAAGCTGAGTGAGCCAGACTGACTTCAACCGCGTTAGACGATGCATCGTAGAGCAGACCTGGTTCCATAAGAGAAAGATCGGTGTCAAAAATGGACGTTACGCGCCTGTCGGAAGAAGCAAAATATCGCCAACGGAGAGAAGGGAACAGGTCAGGAGGAGCACATCCTCTTGGAGGTCAAGAAAGCGCATTGAGCGAATGTTGCAAGGCCTGAGAGATACAGGGACTTGTCAGTACTGGTAGTACCTTGGTTGTTGTTGGAGAAACACAAGATTTACTCACCTAAAGAGAGGAACGCAATTAGACCAACCCAACTTCAAACATTCCCAGCTTCAAAATGTCGTACGTCTGTTGTTCTTGCCTAGCAACACAATCGATTGCCGTGCTGGGAAGCAAATCACGGATTCGCCTTGTACCGGAAGCCAGCGACGGCGTTAACCAAGAACGACTGGACAAGGCGGCCGGATACAAGGTCATAGACTGTCATAGAATCTGTCACTCGTCACATTTGTCACATCTGTTTATTTCGGTTGACGTATGTTGCCTTATCCTATAGCGCTCGCAAACTCATTAGCCATGCACAGGCCTCGATACAATCCGACTAATACCAGCTTCATAACGCTTGTCAACTTGAACTTACGGGGAAGCTCGCCAGCCACAGAATAGAGTCCTAACAGACTCGTTCCCGGAATACAAATGACATGGCCTATGAACGTAAACCCTGACTTGTGGTGCATTTCATTCATGTACTTGCTACTGATCCCCGTGCAACCGCCTACTCGTCTTTGTTCTCTGAACGACTTCGAGGTAGTGAACAAGAACAAAGTATCTTTCATTGACTGTAGCCTCAGATACAAGCGGTTCCACATTACCACAGGATGTATAAGAAGGGAAAAAATCGTCTTTTCAACTCCATTCCAACAGAGCCACTTGCTCATCTTCCTCGCACAATCCTTGACTGCTTGTCATGGCCAACTACCGACAAGCTGGCAGACCTACACCGGTCTATCAGGGGAATGTATCACCCAATCTTATATCGGCCGTCAACGAGGACCATTTTACTCGCCCCGCTCCAGAGGTAATTTCACTCGTTCGACCACTTGCGAGCTCACAAACGATCAGATTCGGAACTACCTGCTTATGAGGAGCGTATATCCAAGTATTACCAACGGCGGGCAAAACTTCGCCTTGCGGGATTTCATCACAGAGTGCTTGTGCGTAAAGTCTGATCAACAGGATTTGTTCACTGAGTGACCGACTCCAGTAATCACAAACAAAGCCGCCCTCATTATACGCCGGTTCCTGGTCCCCGTGTCAAGTCCATCAACGTCCAAGGAGCACATGGGTTGACGCTCAACATCTCTGACATCTATGCCGCGTTAGGTCTTTCACTCTTATGCATTTACTTGATCTAAACAATATTACTGATCTTCAAATTGTACAGGATTCGTCATCGCTGAGACCGACTTGTTCCCATTTTCTCTAAACCAGAGTATCACAGATGCTGCCGTGGCTGAAGTTGAGTTGAGAGTCTTGGCCACGTATATCAACTGGGGTCAAATTTTGCACGAGGCTTATTTTCTTGGCGTTTCTGGGGATGATGGAGAGCGAGTTGACCTCGCTCCTCCTCCTGCGACCGCATGTATCATGTATCGTGCGGGAGGCGGCCCAGTTCCAATCATCGGGTCAATTTCGACCTCCTTCGGTGGCCCCCAAGGACGTTCCAAGCAAACTGCTCGTACTTTACGAGTGCAAAGTTGGACCAGTGCATTCCCAACATTCAATGCAGCCATTCCAAGTGTTCGACAGCTCCACGGGTCTAATGTTCATACCGGCGACTGTGCGGAGCTTCCTGCATTATTAGGGTAAGCATTGACAACCTCAGGCTTGAGCGCTTTAGCCTCGACACTACTGACATACTCTAGTCTCCTCAAGCTGGACTCCGAGTCGATCATGATGGCGCGCGGCTCACAACTTCAACAGCGTCAACCCATCCTTGTTTACGGAGTGGCTGCAAGTACAGACCTCGCGTCAATAAGTTTATTCAAGGCAGTACGCTACAACCCAGCTACCTTTCAACAGCTTCTCAAGCCGGCATGCGACAATTGCAAGTACGGAATACGATTCCTTGACGGAGTCTACGCCAATGGGAGTGCAGATCCAACTCCTTTGTTTCAATATATCGATCTCGCACCACCCATTGCCAACCAACCTCATCAACCAACACCTTATCCCTCCGTCCAGGAGAATAAATGTCAGAAACCCGACTGTCGAAACCGCGGGTACTGCACCTTTGAGTGTAGTGCCTGTCGAAGTTGCGTGGTACTGCAGTGATCGATGTAGGCAAAATGATGCCTCTCGACACTCGCATGACTGCGCGTGCTACAGAACTTGCGCCCGGATATCATGCAAGAAAGTGTGGAAGCCAGACCAAGAAATTGTTCAAGGACAAGACTACGAAAGTTGCCAGGACTGCGCAAGGGTTGGGGGACGACATCCAACCAACTATTGTATCAGCAACCGCAAGAAGGCAGACGAACAGTGTATCGTGACTGACAGGGCAGCCCATAGCTCGTATTGCGCCAGTCCAAGCAGAGGGCCGGTGCCAAAAAACGCAGAGACTGGCTCCAGGATACATGTTCACCTAGTTTTATGCCAGTGCGCTGATTATACATACAACATAGAGTACTTAGATGAATTTTCATCAGCGCATCGCTGCGAAGGAGTTGATGATAATACATACATGTATGTAATAACTTAAAAACCATGTATGTATGTGTTTAACCATCACCACGAAATCACCAACTTGGCTCTGGCAAACCAACGCAATCAGAGCGATATATCGTCGGCGCGCGCTGTACGGGACATCGCCGGCTGTCGATAATCAGTTAAGTTGCGTAGGTAACTTGGTAAGTTGTCGATTCAAGGTCTTCTAACTACTACTACTATTATAGCTACTATATATACTGTTTGTGAGAGGAATATCGCAGTACCGCAGTACTGCGCCAGCGTCTAGTACTGACCAATATTATATTACGATTTATTATTATGTCATATTATTACTATTATCATATTATGCCTGGGAGTCTGGGACTGGAACAAATAGTATATTATATTATCATATTATTATAATATTATTATGGCTCCAACATAATATATTATAATATATTATTCTAGCACCTTATATGTCAGCCCCAAACTTATCAACTTTGTACAAAATTAGCTTGTATACTAACTAGTACTACTTCTATTCTTGTTCTCATAGTGTTTATGTACTATGGACAGTCTTCTTCCTTATAGTAATAAGGCTAATTGTTACCTGTTGGCAATAATACTGTCCATTAAAGAAGACTTACATACACACACTCATCATATACTAATACTATTAAGATTGTAATGTGTTCACAATTTCCAAAAAAAGGCATTTCACTACAGACATATCACTGAAAAGCCTTCTCCAAACATGATCTAACAAAGGGATTTGGATAAGCTACTATTTCAGAGCATTGCATAATATGGTCACTTAACAATATACTCAAAACTAAAGTTCAAAATGCTGAAAGTTTGTTTGAGCAGGATCAAATATTATAATATATTATAATATAAATTTTATTATAATATATTATAATTTTATTATAATATTTTCATATTATTATTATTATATTATATCATGGATATATTATGCTGCAGAGGACCATCTTATGATATTATTCTATTATTATTATGCATTTGGCATAATAATATCATAATAGGCCAGCACTAATTTATGTAAGGCTCCGGCCTCCGTTACACTGTACTTACTGATGCATATTCAATGCAGAATACCGCCTCCAGAGGACGAGTACAATGTGTCAAGTTCGGCGATGATGAGGGGCCACCCCAAGGAGTTTACTGATTTTTCTCAACTCTTATCCAATTGTTGCTGTGAAATTTTGCTGTTAGCGTAGCATTCGGATTTGCCTACAACTAACGTTATTGGTGCTCGAAATATAGTTTACAGTTAATAGTCTGAAGAACATCGACGAGTATCAACCGGGTCCGCACTCAGGCCATCAGCTACTTCACCGACCATGGATGTTGTCATCGAATTCCGCACCGTCTTCTGCTGGAACCGGTTCTTCCTCTTCCCAAGACAAACTCCAGTCGGTAAAACCACCTCTTTCTTGCTGCTCAGCCCATCGATTACGTCTAGGCTTGTGGCTTTGCCAATCCAAGCGGAATGATTTCCAGAATACAGAATCCTCCGTTTCCGTCATCGGTCGGATTGGCTCTTCGATGTCAGCAGCGTGTACGACAAAGCCATGATCAACGTTGTTCGGCCAAGAACGAATAAATCCGTCCTCATCCTCAACAAGGTAACGATTCCCGATTCGGAAGACAGTGCACGGGGTATCCGCCGAGTGTTCGCGCGGGGTGTAGGCTTGCGGCAAGGCGTCCCCAGGGAACCCATATTTATGTTCTAAAGACCAGGCAAAGTCGCCTGATTGTCCAATCCACCGGTACACTTGGGCCCAGTCCCGGTCTTCATACCAGTCATTGATCCAAAGCCAGTCGATAATCCTATCTTGCGACCAGTGCGCAGTTGCCTCGCGGAATTCATCTTCCGACATTGGCTCCCGAGGCCCTCGTCGGGGGGCCAGTTTGATGAGAGTCTAGTGGGGCTATGTTAGTTGGCTAGATATCCAGGTAAACGAATCGGTTACTTGTGAAAGTGCATGACCAGCTATCATTTCACCATCGTCGGGGTCCCCATTAGCCTCTTGATCAAAAACACAACTCGGAAAGCCAACTCCACGGCCGAAGTCGTATACGCCAAGCTCTCCGAAACAATTACCGACAATGGTGATACCCAGAGTTTCGTCGGCTTCGATCTGGGGTCGAGCCCAGATAGCAGGATCGCTATTTGGGTCAATCTCCCATGGTTGCGGCGGAATGGTTTGAAGGAGTTCCTCTTCTGCTGATGGCAGCGGAACAGAAAGAAATCGGGGACGGCTGTAGTATTTCTCTTCAGGCCGGGTAGTGTCAAGCCATGTTGCTCGCGTTCCGTCTGGGGAAAGACCGAGTTGGTACCAGGGGCATGGAAATTGGTAATCAGACGGATATTCTACGATGCAAGTGCTCGGGTAGACTTCATCTCTATCGTCGTGGAGGTCGTGAAGTAGGACAGGATCCAAGGCAATTAACTCGAGGCCGACCTGCGAGAGAATAACGAGGCGCAAAGGTGAACCGGCAAGGTAAACAGGAAGCACTTGAACCTCCCAAATCCTAGGTAGTGTGATACTGCCGCAATACACGACTGAAGCTTGCGCGGTAAGCGAAACGTCGTAGACCTCTAAAGCCACGCTGCGAATGATGACGAGTTTGTTGTTGTTCCATAGTGTCATGACATTGGGTACGCTCTGTCCCTTTATCAATGTCTATGATGATGAGATATGGGAAATGCGCACTCTTTGGCCATGGACCTCGAGGCCACCGGGTGGAGGCGGAATCTCGACGATCAGTGATCTCCTCCAGTCGATTAGGTGCGGGACATTACTCCCTCGGTGAATGGCGCAACCGATGAAGGAACCCGATAGCAAGAGAACATGCGTCGAATTTGGTATATGAGCAATTCCAACAAGGGAGTAGTCTTGGTGGAGTTTGCGTAAGGCGATAATATGCGTGGAGTTGGATCTATGGTGTCTAAATGAATTAGAAAAACGGGCCGCGGACGAAATGACTCACTGTGAACCTAAACCAAGAGCCAGAACAATCTCACAACCTTGAACTTCGGCTTTTCCGGTCTTGACCACATCTGGCAAGTAATCCTGGGCAATAGGTTCCACGTTTCCTTCGAATATGCGAAAAATATCCCAGCAGCTGAGTTTGCTGAGTTTATCGTCCGACGAGGCAACAAACAGCCATCTTCCTTGAGCCAGATGAAGCCAGGTGATCGATTGAGGCAGGTTGATAGACCACGTCCGAAACCGCGAGCGATTTTCTGGGGGCGTCCATTTTCGTGAGGCATACGAGAGCTGCCGCACAAGTAATTCCAAGTCGGGTGAGCTCAAGGCCAGATAATCCTCAATATATGCTGGAATTCGAACACCCTGGCGTAAAAGCCAGGCAAGCTGGGTGAGCCAGACTGACTTCAACCGTGTTAAACGATCCATCGTAGAGCAGACCTGTTTTCGTGAGAAAAGAAATCAGTGTCAAAAATGGAGGCTTCGCACCTGCCAAAGAAGCAAAATATCGCCAACGGAGAGAAGGGAACAGGTGAGGAGGAGCACATCCTCTTGGAGGTCAAGAAAGCGCATTGAGCGAATGTCGGGAGGCCTAAAAATGCAGGGACTTGTCAGTGCCGGTAGTACCTGAAGAAACACAAGCGTTACTCACCGAAAGAGAGCGTAGGCCAACACAATACATTCCCAGCTTCAAGATGTCGTACGTCTGTTGTTCTTGCCTAGCAACGCAATCGACTGCCGTGCTGGGAAGCCAATCACGAATACACTTTGTACTGGACGCCAGTGACGGCGTTAACCAACTTGAAGAACGGCTGGACAAGGCCGAATACAAGGTTGACCATAGAACCTGCATCACCAAATTGGTCACAACGCTGTAACAACTTTTCGTCCAGACAAACCCCGACAAGGTGCTAGTTAACCTACATAATCCTTAGCCACACTTTTATGATACTAGCAACAGGCTTGGAAGACTCGCTACAAGCCTTGCCGTGAACGGGAAGGGTAGTCATACAGTTAATACACCCTTATTACTCAGCGCTTTCGATATGGAATTGTTTTGCAAGTTATTCTGGTTCAAGAGCTTTGTTTGAGTATACTAGTAAGTCTAAGTACATGAGATATCTTTGCGTGCTTGGTTATTGTAACAACTGTCGGCAATGGAGAGTACGGAGATGCTTTTGTTTCTAGGCTGACAGCGAGTGTCAATTCATATCTTCGAACGGAAGCTAAAGCACTGACCTGACGTGTGTGGTTCAGACCAGTCGCTCCTTCTTGATACGAGATGGTCCTGCTGCCACTGTCGCGGTCGGGGCTCGAAGAATCTGGTCACTATTTGTATCTTCAAGCTAAATACGCGCTGGTCAGCCGAGAGAATAAGGTCGAAAGTTCACAGTAAGCACCTGGGATTCCTCCTGGGCTTCCGATGTAACGTCTCCTTGCTGTTCGAAGTTTTCGCTAGATAGTAGTCGTGTCAGTTTCTGAATCAGCTGTTGGGGCACCACGCACGACAATTCCTCGATAATACTGCAAATTCTGGGACAGAACAATAGGGTCCTCGGCAACATTATCAATGCATCTCTTTGAACCGCGTCGTCCCAGATTGTTGCAGTTGGCGATTGCTCTTCGAACGGCAGAGGGATGACGACCAAGAGCTTCCGCAAGTTGCTCGTAGCTGTAGTCGTCTTGGAGGGCACGGCAAACGGCTTGTTCACAATGGGTCACAGGGTGGCGCGGGGTTCTGAAAACGTCAGTAACATGCATGGAGGCCAGAACGAAGACTGACTGGCCGCGCTTTGTTGGCGAACTGGCTGTTTTTCGCGACTGGAGGAACATAGCAGCTGAAAGAATGGGATGAGTTCGCAAGAGTTGCGGGCGTCTTTATAAGTTGAAACGCGCTGCAAAGGTGGCAGTGTTTTCAAGCTTTGTGGTGTTCCAAAGAGAACCGCAGTCATCTGTGGTTGAATTGTAGGTAGGAAATATGCTTTGCTGCGCTTCAGCGAGCACGCGGTACCAGATTTCACAAGGAGAATCCTGCTTTCAATGTTGATGCGGTGGTGCGCGGAGAAGAGATACTCAACTGCGGCATGACTGTGAATTCAAATTCAGAGGCCCGAGCGACTCGTCTCTTTTAATTCTTGAGATTTCTGGCTCTGTTTATTGAGCGACAGCAGCCTAAGTGGTAGGGTGGTAGATGACATGGCCATATAACGCGTGAGGGCCTCGTTGATGGATAGTACCTCGACAAGCATGGCGGTTGAGAGTAAGTTGAGTGGCGGGCATCGGCTCTCATTGACCCGAGATCCGACTTATGTCCGGCGGCATCACCAAATTTGGTGGGGTTAACAAATTGGAAATATTACACGAATGAGCAGTTATGAGCGATCTATTCGGCCAGACCAAGGTGATTGATAACTGCCGCATCACCTCCATACAACGGTTCATCTTCATGATCAGCCTCTTCGTTGTCCTGTTCAAATATCGCGTCTCCACGCCAATCAGCATCCTCCTCCTCTGAATCGCTGTTATCCCCGTCAACCTGCATCAAGGGCATAGTAGTATCCTTTATTGAGGACGGGTCATCCACTGCTTCGCTCAACAGTGTCTGATCAGATGAGACCGCAAGGTTGTTGTCGATTGTGGAAAGACTGTCGTCCGACAGTTGGAGAGGCGTAATCTTGCGATGGCCAATGACATTATCATGGTACCGCATAAGCATGTCGCGATCGACCACCCTAACAAGTCTGAGTGAAATAAGGTAGCGTAGAGAAAGAGGCTTACATATTAACATAATAGAATCGCCAGTCTTCGTTTCTGCTAGATTCGGGTCGAGCCACAGACTTGGGAAGATACTCCATTGTTTGTCCGTGGCGAAAAGCAGGTATCAAATGACTGCCCCGCACAATATCTTGAGGATCGAGAAAACCGAAAGCATCGGGATCCTCATGCAGCATGTAGCCAAGGCGCGGGAAGCGTTTTACTTTGAGTCCGCAGGTGTAGGTCATATCGCGTCGGAACCATCGAACCCAAAGGAATTCCATGCGCTTTGCTTTACTAGGGTGGTCTGCCAGTAACGCATAGACATGGAATATGCCCAAAAATTTCGCCATACCAGTAACGGTGAGGATCGATTGAATCCTGTGCATGAACCATGAAGAATCTTCGGGTTCGCGGATTCAATGTGTCTTGGTCTCGACGAACATCGTACGTTGTGTAGTTGACCTTCATGGTTGCATGAGTGTAAAGTAAATCCTTCTCGACAATCACATTGAGCAAATCCTCCTTAGTGAGCTGAACATCATCGTCAAGGCCGAGAAGTTGACGTCGCAAGTAAGCCTTGAGTTTAGGAGTAAAGTCCTGCAGTTATGGTGAATTATGCACGAGTGGACAATAGCACGCCTACCTTGAGTGCGGGATCGGAGTACGACTGATCAATCTCCTGTCAGGCAATTGATAAGACGAACCATATACCTGAAATGTCTACACACCATGGGTTCTATGGGAGGCCCGTCAGTACCAGTATCCAAAACTTCCTCTTCATCCTCCATGTTGATGTCCGAAAGATGCCAAAATGATCTCTTCGAGTCAGAGATATAATGATGCTGTTCCGGAGGAACATAGGCACCATATGATGACGACGAAGGTTTGGGACGGAGAGTGGACACCAGTTGTTGTCGATTGCGACGTGCTTTGCTTACTTCAGCAGCACTTGGTTGTTTGGTCGGCGGGGGGGATAGCTCCCGTTGCAGTTGCTTTCTCAGCAGCTTTTCTCTCCGCCTCTTTATAGGACCGTCATTTCTCCCACATTGCACGTATCAACCGTCGGGCGGTGTTCATGCTTTGCAATTTGACGAACATGATCTCGCTTGTTCGTGCGACGGTACAGATATTTGACGAGCCTGTGAGCAAGCTCGCCCTGATAGACAATTCAGAACTGGATGAAATCTAGTTGGAGATTACTCACAATCTGAGTTGAAAATGAGTCAGTGGTTCCGTAACGCAGGATGGCATCCGGATAGTCGGGGAGCGAGTGCAATTTGAACGTGATTAAATTGAACGGCTTCTCAACCTGTTCTCCCTTTTGTTTGGGCAGAGCAGGGGGAGTTGTGCTTGTGATTGTAGTCGATGAACCCGGTGTAGCCAACGAACTTGGCGCGTCAGCTGGCGTAGACAAGTGGTCGGTGATTCGTGTCGATGGGCCAGCCGCTGGCGGTAGGTCACCATCTGGGTTTGCCGACAGCATTGCTGAATCAGATGAGTGGTCCGCAATGGGTGTTGGCAGCCCAGGTATCAGTGTCTCGTTGTCACTTGCATTCGCCAACGGTATAGCAGGACCAGTTGATTTTAACTTTGCCTTCGTCTTTGCCTTCGCCTTCGACTTAGGCTTGGGTTTAGGTTTGGGTTTGGGCTTTGATGTGGCACTCGAGCGTAGAGAAGGGGGAACGGGAGGAACCGGGTTTTGAGGAAGTGTTGTTGGTTGAATATCAGTAACCGCTGTTGCTGCTTTCGCCGCCGCTGCTTTCGCCGTCGCCGCCTTGGATGCTTGGTTGGCCCTTCGACGTTCTTCACGAGGCAGGTCTTGATATCGGCTGTCTCTCGTGCGAACCGTCGTATAGTTGTGAGAAGATTGGTGGTTGCTGTCCGAAATAGCTGGATAGTTGTCGTTGTATGCATCCGAAGCTTCGCGTACCCGTGCCAGAGAGCCAGTTCAAAACAGAGTTGATCAACGAGCTGCTGGTGAAGGGGAAATAAACCGTCAACAACAGGAAGAATGCACTAGAACTGAATCAGTTAAATGATCAAGGGTCCATGCTCAGCATCCAACAATACCTGCAGTACATCCTCAAAATTGCGAGCTGCTGCGTACTTCATATCCGAAACATTGTGACTAAATGTGCGGATAACAGAGCGCCCAAAGGTTTCAACTTGCTGAAATCTGCAATAGCATAAGAATGCAATCCCAATAAGAATTTCCGCTGCTTACCGTTGATCAAACTCGTCGACCTGTTTGAAAGTCTGGAGCATGCGAATGAGATGGGTAATAATTGCTTTTGCAACTCCAAGTTCAACTTCATGGAGCAGGTCCGGGACAAACATCGTATAAAAGTTGAAGGGAGTCTTTTCCGTGTTGAGCTTGGTGAACGCATTCTGCCGCATGATTAGTGAATGTTGAATGATGTTTCAGCGAAGACCCACGCGAACTGGAACCCAGGAACTCCCTTTCAACATTTTATCAACCGAGGAATTTGGACCGCCAATAACAAAACCATTTTCAAAGGCAGCTCGACACGCATCCTCAATAGTTTCTCGTCGAGGATGATCGTCGACTCGAATGACTTGCCGTCGCTTCATGTCGTTCACCGTGCCAGTTTCAGCGATTTGTCGTTTTTGAATGAAGCAACGAGGGCAAGGATGGCCGCCCAGGCTGCCAATAGTAGCAAGCAAAATCCTGCGAGGACTAAGTCTCAGTAGTAAGAAACAGCATATCACGTACTTCTCAGGATAATCTGCCCCATAGATAAAGAAACGAGGGAAAACAAGACGAACAATGCCGTCCCAACATCGAATTTTGATACCGTTGTCATATGCATCAATGAAGTCTTCTGAGAGAAGAAGATCCCATATTCGATGCATTAACTCGCGTTTGAGATGCTTGTATACTTCATCCGACATGTCGCACCCATAATGAGCACGATATGTGTCCCGTATAGAGTCTGGGAGCTGCAAGACCGTGAGCATCATCGCAAGAATAGGCAAATAACATACGGTAGCAAAATACGCTTGATGAAAGCCAGCATTTGAGGATGGTTTAGCTCGAAATCCCTTCGGATGGTTGTCAAAGAAGGTATAACCGGGCCACAGCGATGCAGTCCCGAATTGAGCAAGGTGGGTCGCATCAGACCATTCCATTATACCCATAATAATACTCTCAACAGGGTCCTCTGGAGATTGCGGAGGAGGGGGTTGCGGGATTGCTTTGTATGCCTCAAGAAATGCCGCCGATGTGTATAATTCTCCAAAGACCTCTTCGTGACCCGGAGGAAGGCCAGGTAGTCCATATTCATTAAGGGGAGGATTGGCGTCGTCGAGTACGATGTCAGCTGATGTCGAGTCGAAGGTGGGGTCGAAACGAAGGGAGAACGGCGTAGTATGGAGCTTTTCGAATAAAGGCCCTTGGAGAACCTCTCTAATAGGGTCAAGAAGAGGTCGGTAGTGTATGTCGGTGACCGTGAAAGTAGGAGCATCACACTCTTTTTGAGAGTGTCCAACGCAGGGCATTTTGAGCTGGACGCTCCCAGAAATCCACTTGTCAGTGACCCCAAGAGGTTCTATTCCATTCTTGTCGAGTTGTTCAAGAAACTTCTTGGTCGAGAATGGTTGAGGGAGGTCACGAAGGTCCACGCCATCTGACTCGGCTTCGTCGTTGGGTTGGAGAATATTCTGGATAAATCGGTCAAAACCGCCGATAGACCCAGGATTTTCCTCTTCGATGTGATATTTCATGAGGTGCGCAACTGATGCATTCGGAAATGGATAATACCAAGGCTCTTTCGGAAGGGGTAAATTATCCCAGTTGATTTGGTCCTTTGGCGCGCAATATAAGTCGTTTAGCGTTGCATGTTCGTCAGGATCGTGGGTGGGACGCTGAGGATAAACTTTGTACAGCCCAAAATGATTAGGCTCTGTTCGAATCCATGTTGAAGGTTGCGATTCGAGCGGAGATTCAGGCTCGGCAATCGACTGCACGGTATTAGGCGCAGGTTGAGGTAGCAACTGAGATGAAGCCTTTCGGCGAAGACGGGGCAGTGGAGTTGGCGCAGCATTATTTAGTTTGGCTGGAACGCGGCGCTTTCGGTCCGGTAAGCCACTTTTACGGTATGTTGGAAGCTCTGGGGGGCGCTCTTCAATTATTTCAACTTGGATCTATTCCTGAGTATGAGCGAGGTAAACCAGCAACAAAATTTCTTGGAACGCACTGGAGCAACTGGTGGGCTTGGAGGTTCTGGTGGTGGTTGCATGGCAAGTCGTTGATGGACATGGGTAACAGATTGTAGGTGCAAGGCTTTGAAGCCCGCACACGTCCTATCGTGAACCTGTTTTGCTTCTCCCAGATTGCGTAGAGGCTTTTGGCATAGCTCACACGCGTATTTCGCCTTAGGCATCTCTTGTCTGACTTGAGGGCAGGGCGACCGCGCAACTGGAATTCAAGTTGGTGATCGCGCGGAAGAAAAGTTGTTGTTTATATAATCACGTCATTCACGTTTCCTCGTGCGCGCGCGTCCTCAGATTCATCTCTCTTCAAGTTTGGAATACCATTAAATTGCAAGTAATATAGTCGATGTAGCTAAGGAGCGTGTCTAGGAAAAAGAGCGAAAGAAACGAAGAGATGGGTGTCCAAGGTCAGAGTTTGAAAGTGATAACGGTAGGTCTACTAGTCGTCGGCCTGGATTGAGTCAGATGAAATACTAATTACGGAGTCCATAGAGATATCAGCCACCGCATCGTCGGCATCAAGGGAGTGGAGTGTATCCTGTAAAATGCGACTGAGAGTACGGAGAGATGCGATGTGCGCCAGAGACTGTTGTCGAAGCTTCCCCGAGACCGGTCTGTGCATTGTGAAGCAACAGCCGGAGGTTTGCGAGGTCTTGAAGAAGGAGGTCATTATCCTCCTTAAGCCTATCTGCGCGGCCCTGAGCTTTGTCGTAACTTTTTGTAAGTTGCTCGAAAGCTTTTCTCAGCATCTAGATATTACTATAAGTGGATTGCCTCTGTTCACAAAGTCGGAGCATACCTTGCGCTTGGCTTCGTTCTTCGAAGCTGTCTCAGAACATTGGTGGAGCTCTCTGCGCGTATTCTCCAACTCCAACTCCAACTGTGCCTGCCGGTCCATCGCCACGTCCGAGTTGTGCTCCAAACGAGCGTTCTCTTCGTGGATGTTCTGGTTTTCATTGGTGACAATGGCGTACTGAAGCGTAAGAGTCTCGTTTTCCTTCTGCAGACGCTCGTGTTCGTCTTTGAGTTTGTGGAATCTGGCGACGGTAGCCTCAAGCTTGGCCACTTCTGTTTTTGTCAGTCAGTGACAGCAGACTGAAAATATAAACACAAACTCTGGGCATGTTTTTCCGCGACGCTGACGGAGAGGTCAATAAAAGAATCTACTAACAAGTGGCGATGACATACAGCTGAGGAAGCAAAGCCGGCAGAGGGTCTATGGCAGCCACCTCATTGGCGGGGCCTTGAGCTCGTGTTACGCTGGACGATCTGGTCCTCGAGGCTCCCGGAGTGAAGAGACTCTCGCCGGTTCGTTTCAATGGCCGAGTGGAATTCGAAGACCCAGACCCAAGATTCTCTTTCTGCTGAGAAGACCGTCGTCGTTTCTCGGCGAAGGATGGCAAGGTGGAAGGACTGTCGATATCGCTGGAATTCATGTTGATAAGCAAAGGAAGGAAGCGGGAAGAGAGGGAAATAATGACCCACATCCAACTATCGTTCGAGCTTTTATAGGGCAGGCTATTCGAAGGGTTGGGGTTGGCAGAGCGAACATTTTGCGCTTGATGGCAACATTTTGGCGCCGATTTGTTCAAGAGAAGTTGGAGAGAAGCATTCGCCTTGGCGAAAGCCGAGTAAGGAGGGCGTATATGATGGGCTCGTGGGCGCATAGTTCACTGAATGAGTCGACATCCGCAACAATGCCAAGCTTTGCTGGTGGTCGATGCTAGCGCAGTCACGAGCCGTGACTGCGCTTCGTTCAGAATGACCACAACTACCTCGAGAAGCCTTCCTGCATTCCTGCTGAATATACCATCCACATCTACTCCCAGATTTTTGGAAGATGGTAAACGGATAGTGCGTTAACATGACTTAGATTGACTTGGTAAATTTAAATCATGACTTAGAAATTGGCTTTCGACGGGTCGATTGTACAAGTACCTCGCAATGCTCCCGAGAGCGACCATCTACTCCACCTACTACGCTCTCGACTAGACGCATCCCTAACCGAGAAGAATCTCCTCGAGAAACGGATACATTCACAACTCCAGTACCTGAAATATCTCCAGTATCAAATCGACCACGTCGAAGACGATATACAGCACGAACACCAGGACATAGGAGTCGTCAGGGCTGCGATGCGCTGCTTGGGCATACCTATAGATGGGGACAAAATGGAGTGTGGGTGTTAAACGTGTTATTCCGAGCTTGTTGTAATATCTCGTGTATATGTATCGTGTGTGCGCTCCGCCAGTTGGCGACAAAATATGTTTATCGCAGCCGCTGCTGCCGCATTGAGGAGAGGATGTTGGTGACGCATTGACAGGTATTTCAGGCAGTAGATTAAACCGATGTTCCGCATGATTTGGCATAAATATAGCAATAACAATGACGGGAAGAAAGCCAGGATAGTCAATCCATCGAAGCGGTAAACAACGATGGAAGCAGTTGCCGGTATTGACAATTGCCTACGATGGCGTCGTCGCGAAATATTGAAGAACGCCAGAGAGATGTCCTCCTACAAGAGCGGGCTTCCTGAATGAGTGTGTCAGGGGAAACCCTGATGCCGTCACTTGATCCCATCAAGCGCCGCGTCTCCGCTCGCGTCTCCACGTCTCCGCTCGTGTTTCCGTGTCTCCACACCCTGACGCTCTCCCTCCACTGCCCGCACCACATCCCACATCCAGTAATCCCTAGTCTTCGACTTCCCTGGCCACCCCTTTCCGGGAGCCTCTCCGGAGTCACCATCAGGGATCACTAATGCCATCGGAGACCTCTCCGGATGTGGATGCACCACTTCCCTCTAGACCTTGAGCCTATGGCCTGCCAGCCTCTCTGGGCTGTCACTTATCAAGGTCTCCCTACGATCTCTACCTGCTGGACCTCTTAGGTGTCTCCAACCTATGTCAGCGTTCGGGCTTACGTTCGGATGGCTGAGCCTCGCCATGGCTCCGCTTCCCACTCCACCACCACGGCCCCCGTCATCGGGTCTCCCTTTGGGTGAGGCCTACTGCCGTTAAGGCTCGTGCCTACCGCAGCGCCCCCAGGCTGCACGCCCCTCACCCACCTCTCTGGAGACGTCCGGGGACGTCTCCGAGTGACCCTCCTGTCGCTACCCTCCAGTGGTCATGGCTGGCCGCCATTCCCATTGGTCCTCTCCGATACTCCCCGGCCCTTGGGCTAGACCAGACTCCTTCCCTTTCCGCTCCACGCCTTCCCCCTCCGTTTCCGGCCATCACGTCACGGTCACACACCCGGAGTCGATTCCGATTCCGGTTCCGATTCCGGTTGTCACGGTCACGGTCACAAGCGGAGACGCTCAGAGGCAGCCTGGACCTCCCGAAGCCCTTCTTAGGCCTTCTAAGGATGCCTGGGCTCCTCCCTTGGCATCACGGTCCCAAACCTGCCTCTCCGGAGCTTCGAGGGCTACTCGACACTCACCTAGGGTCCATTAGCGACACCTGACTTCTCCCATGCATCGTTCGTCGCTATGCAGTCACTCTATCATTACTCCGGTCACTAGTATATAGTAGTGCACCTGAGCAGAGGGCTCCTTGGCTTGTTCTCTAAGGATTCCCCCTCTGCTCAGGTGAGTCTGTAGCGTCCCTTCCTGTTGTAGTAGTTCACTAAGGATTCCCCCTCTGCTCAGGACTCTGATTTCGAGCCTCGCGAGGTTGCCCTTACAGAGTGCGGGTCAGTTATAGAGCTCTTGAGCTTGAGAACCTCAACAAATGAAGTCGTTATGCACCAAGCCCTGGCTTAGATGGAATGAAATCGGCCTACCGCCGTTGGGAATTTAGTTGACAAGCGCGTTGACGTCTTGCAATAAAGCGAAAAGAAGGACAAGCAAACGATCCAGCAGTTGTTGCGCGACATTGTGCTGTGTGTTCAAAGAGAGCAAAAGTCACGAGTTGTTGCCCGAGTTTGATTTAGAGAGCAACGAGATGAGCGCGTATTCAAGTTGTGCATAGGATACTGGCAGTAGGTGCAACAAGCCGTGCTTGTAAGCTTGATTATCCTTGTTCTTAGACAGAAAAATTGGCTAAGCCGCGGCGGAGAAGAACGAGTTTCCAGATTGTGAGGCAGATAATCCCTCGTTTCGCTGCATGTGATGTATCAGTAACGATTCCAGACTTGGTAAAATACACAAACATGAACAGCACAAATGAGCGCGGCGCTCAGGCTCTTGAAGTGGCGCTAAAGCAAGTTTACGACAGCGCACACGTGCTTGTCACGTGTTGACAAGCTTTTCTCGCCAACCCGAATCTGCGTTCGCATCGATGCTGCTCTGGAAGGAGCGCGGACAATTTGTCGCCCGCAGCAGGTTTCTGGACACGCAGAGCTCTGCAAAGAAGCATTTCGACCGCTTCCATTAGGTGGCAAACCCGAAGCTGTAACAGTAAGCGCGCGTAGGAAGAAAACAATGCCTACTGTCAACTAACAACAAGCAGGGCAGCTCGAAGATTCATCGGTCGCCCATTTGAAAACCAGGCCGCTCCGCAGACTCGACCAGATCATCAAGGCCCCAGTAGCCGCAAGCAAAGCCCAGCATCTGGCGCATGTCGTTCTGGGGTACGTCGTTCATTGCTCTCGACAGGCATTGGCGCTAACTATTGCCATGAAGCTTTGATTTTGCGAGCTGCAAGAGGTCTGGCAAGTCAAACCTTCAGCAAGCAGAGCTGGGGTTGTTTTTGGGCGCTGCAGCATGGCCGTGATCAACAGGGTTGTGCGAGGCAGGCTAGCAGCCGTTGGCGGCTGTAAAAGGGGAGAAAATTGAAGGACTATGGTTGGCGGACGAGCGGACGAGCTGTACCTGATGGCTGGAGAACGAGTCTCGTTGGCACGACATTGACAACGCAACGCTGGCTGCTTACCTCCACGATCTGTAGCCAACGCGTTACCCCCTCCGACGGTGGGACTTCGAGCGTAGGGCGTCGGGAGTCGACAAGCCTCGCCGATCGCAAAAGACAAGCCGCGCGCGGGATCGAGGGGGACATGTTCCACCCTAGCTGAACTATCCGCCCTCTTG